ATGTGATTTTTTTTCCATTAATCAAAAATTAAAGAAAAGGGCTGGAGGGGTATTTCAGTAACTAAAGTTAATTTAACCTTTTCTTCACATTTCATTTTTTGGGCAAGAAGAACAAAAGTATTGCCCACTTGATACCACTGAAATCCTAAATACCATATATTTAGGAACATTAAATGAGAATATGCCATGCTGTGGACAATGAAGTAAATGATGCATATGAAATATGAAAATTCACCTAAGTTATGAGCCTGCTTCCTATGAAGCAAAAATGGTTTGAATTATTAAAGTTCAGGAAACAAATATGTTTTTCCCTCTGTAACAGACAGCTAGATCAGTTTTCATGAAACGTTTTCTTAAAGTAGGGAGGATGGTTAGTGAAGATTTTTATTTGTCCAGTTTCGACTAAAAAGAGTAGAGAAGAATAATGTATCATCTTTTAAAAAATTTTTAAAGAAAGCATGAAGTGATCATATTATAAATACTCATTTCCCTTTGAAATTTACAAATCCCTACAGATTTGCCTAAGAAAGAAATAGTGCTCATACTGGGGATGTTGTCCACAGGTAAAGAGGGGAGTGCTGGTTCCTTTAGTGCTTCATAGAATGACCTTAACCTTTACAGATGTCATTGTAATTGCCAGTATATTCACCACTACCATCATCATCATTATCATCTGAGAGACAGCAGAACATAGTCTATATTGAGAAATGATCTTTGGGTCAGGGAGATCTAGATTTAAGTCCTGCCTCTGACCCAAACTCAGACATACTGGCTCTGTGACCCAGAGCAAGTCACCTAATCCCTCAGTAGCCCTGACAACTCTCCAATCCTTGGTTAAATGAAGTAATATATTAAAAAAGTTCTTTGTGAACTTTGATGATCACTATTATTATTAATTATCATTAAACTAGTGTGGATTTTGGCATAGCTTCTAATGGGAATGAGTAGAGGTAGGGGAAGAGGAGGAGAAGAAATAGGAAGAGGAGGAAGAAGAAGAGGAAGAGAAGAACTCCTTATTAGTAGTTCACTACATTAGTGGTGTCAAACTTAAATAGAAAGAGATCTAATTATACCCCATAGGGAAGTAAGGAGGAGGAGGATAAGAGAAAGGTGGGGGCTGATAGAAAGGAGGGTAGTTTGGGAGAGGCAGTGGTCAGAAGCAAAACACTTTTGAGGAGGGACATGGTGAAAGGAGAGAGAGGGAAGGATAAGTGGGGAAAAAAGTAGGATGGAGGGAAATAAAGTGAATAGGATGAACTCACCCCAAAATGGAAGAGGATAGCAGAGTAGATTACGTGATTTAGACATAAAGTGTGATACCATAAGCAAATTAAGGGAGCATGGAAAATAGTTTACCTGTCAGATCTATGGATAAGGGAAGAATTTATGACCAAACTGTGATAGAGAGCATTACATGATGTAAAATGGATAATTCTGATTACATTAAATTAAGTTTTTGCACAAACAAAACCAGTGCAGACAAGGTTAGAAGGAAAGCAGAAAACTGGTGAAAATTTTTTTTAATGTTGTTTCACTTATAAAGGCCTCATTTCTCAAATGTATGGAAAACTGAATCAAATTTATAAAAATAAAATTTATTCCCCAATTGACAAATGAAATGGTCAAAGGGTATGAACAGCCAGTTTTCAGATGAAGGATATCAAAGCTATTAATAGTCATATGAAAAAAATGCTCTAATTCACTATTTATTAGAGAAATGTAAATTAAAACAGCTCACCACCTCACACCTATCAGATTGTTTAATATGACAGAAAAGGAAAATGACAAATGTTGGAGGGAATGTTGGAACATTGGGACACTGGTGCACTGTTGGTGGAGTTGTGAACTGATTTAGCCATATTGGAGAGCAATTTGGAACTATGCCCAAAGGGCTATAAAACTGTGCATACCTTTTGATCTGACAATACCACTACTAGGTCTGTATTTGAAAGAGATTTAGGGAAAAAAAGAGTAAAAGGACCTATATGTTCAAAAATATTTATAGCAGCTCTTTTTGTGATGGCATAGAATTGGAAATTGAGGACATGCCCATCAATTGGGCAATGGCTGAAAAAGTTGTTGTATGTGATTGTGATGGAACACTATTGTGCTATAAGAAATAAAGAGCAGTACATTTTCAGAAAAATCTGGGAAGACTGATGCAAAATGAAATGAGCAGAACTAGGAGAGTATTATGCATAATAACAACAATATTTTATGATGATCAACTGTGAATGACTTAGCTATTCTCAACAATACAGTTATCTAAGATAATTCTGACCGACTCATGATGAGAAATGCTATCCACCTCCAGGGAAAGAATTAATGGAGTCTGAATGCAGATCAAAGCTTACTTTTTAAAAACACTCTTTTTTTTTCCTTTATTGTTTTTTCTTTTTGGTCTGTTTTCTTTTACAACCTCACTAATGTGGAACTACGTTTTGCATGATTATGTGTGTATAACCTATATCAATCATTGCTTGCTTTATCAATAAGGGGGGGTTAGGGAAGGGAAGGACAGAATTTGGAATTCAAAATTATATAATATAAATGTAAAAAATCTTTTAAATGGCAAAAACACCCTAGAAATTAACATTATCACTGTTGTATTTTATTTCGTTGAATATTTTCCAATTACATTTTAATCAGGCTCAGCTTCTGGGAGTTTGATGTATTAGCTATATCAATGAAATCACAGAGGTGATATTTCTAAGAAAGAAAAGAAAAGAAATGAGAAGTGCTGTCCTCACAACAACTCTGAAACCTAGGTAGAAACTTAAGGAATAAAAATCTTAGGAAACCTGTGTTCCTAAAAGAGTTGTCCAGACTAGACTAATCCTTGTATCAAGAATAGGCCTATTCAAATCTGGATATTACCTATCCAGTGCCATTTTGTCATTTCAATTAGTTGTTAGCATCAGGCCTATTAAAAATTCACAGTTATTAGGTATAATGAAGATGTAGGTGATGTTATAAAGTTTTTTGGTGAGATTAAAATTTATTCATTGTGCCTGGTACTGAAAAAGATAATTATATTTGAAGACCAAGTATAGCAAACAGTTGATTCTGGTAAATAAACAGATTTAACATGGACTAACAGTGACAGCAGATAGTTACCTGGTGAAATATGATTATGTGTCTCTGAGTATGAAATTCTGTATCTTCTGTTTAAAAATAAATGTGTTCATTTGCTGTTTTTATATTACATGGGAGCTTTAGTGCTTCGGGGTCTTAATTATAAAGGAGACATTGATCCAGGGAAATCCTTATACACAACACCCCAAACTTATTTATGATATGCCAGACTTTCTGATTTTTCATTTAGGCCCCCTCCCCTACTACTGATTTAATTCCTTATATCTTCTATTCCCCCTCTTTAAAGGTGTTTTAAAGAAAAAGTAAGGAAAAACAAATGTTTGAATCTTAAATATAGGTTTGATTTTTACTCAGCCAGAAATTTATAGTCCCCTCTAAGGGACTGGTTTTTTTTTCTTCCTCATAGGAAGTTTAGCTTAACTTTATTTTGAAGATTTCTCTCTTTAAATTACAATGAATTAAAATTAATTTTATTTTGAAACAAAATTTTTGTGCACCTTTCATAAGACTATATAGATTTAGAATTAGAAGGAAAACTTAGTGGTAATTGAGCCCACTCCTTCATTTATCAGGTGAGGAAGCTGAAGCCCAGAGAAATTAAGAGATTTGTTCAAAGTCACAAAGTAGGGTCTAAGGTAGGATTTGAACCCAGGTCTTTCTGACTTGAGGTCTTTCACTCTACTCATTATAAAATGCTACCTCAAAAACAAATAAACCGTCCTAGTATTTCTTAGGACTTTATTCAATTCAAATAACTAGGAAAAAAAAACAGAACTGAAAATGAAATAAAACAAAACAATTAACAAAATTGAAAACAGAGGTGGGGGAGGGAACAACCCTTGTTTCATCTCTAAGAGGGAAATTCAAATGAGTTCCTCGGACTAGTGGAACTGTCCCAACAGGGATTAGGGACCTCTAGTTGACTAGGAGTCACTTCTGCAATCTTATGTAAAAAAACGAATGTTCCTGGTGAAAACTCCTCCATGAGTAGACTGTAGTCCATTTTCCTGGGAAATACCCTTTATTGCCTATACTTAAATATCTTAAATAAGGGATTTCTGACCCTCGTATTACAAAACCTAAATGATTCAACAAAAACTTATTAAGTATCTAATGTTGTCTGGATTGCCATATCTCTCCAAAAGGCCTAATAGAAATTTGCAAACATTAGATTCTTAATAAATTTTTGTTGAATCATTTAGGTCTTATAATGTGAGGGCCAGGAATCCCTTATTTAAGATATTCTTGTAAAAATAGGTCTGACCTTGAGGTTAATGTCATTTAATTAGAAATAAGCATGCAGGCTTGACAATATCTAGGTTTTCAAGATTTCATTAGCCCCTAGGCCTGGTATTTTTGTGTGGTGCTCATTCAATTTTGATGAGAGTCTAGTGGTGGTATTTCAAGGTAGTATTTTGAACTTTGACATAATTGATTTACCAATATTTATTCCTGAATATTTGCAAACTGGCAAAGTGTCAGGAGACGAACCATATGGCCTATTTATATTTTATGGCTATTTTTGTTGTTTTTGTGTATGTGGGGAATAAGTGTTTTCAGTTAGTTTAGAGCTTTAGGATAGCATATTTAAAAACTACTTGGCGGGGGGGGGGGAGGCATAGAATTGACCATTCTGAAGCCTATGGGAAAGGTTTGATTTCCAGGTAGTTGTGTTTTATTTTTTTCTCCCTTCCCTTTCCCTCCCATCTGGGCATGTTTAGTCTTCATCTCATGATGTTTTTCTTGTGGAAAAAGGGGAGGGAGTGATTATGCAAGCATCACATTTGTTTCCCTCATTCAGTCGTTCATTTGAAAGCTGTCTTTATGTGTCAACTTAATTCTTCTTTTTCCACCTTGTTAGGTCTTGTGTGTGTACTAATATTCCCCAATGTTTCTTGTTTCAGCTATTTATACAAGAATGAAATCCAGTCAATTGACAGGCAAGCATTTAAGGGACTTGCCTCTCTAGAGCAACTGTAAGTGCCATCCTTCTTTCCCATGCTCTGCCTTTAGTCATATCATCTACTTGGTTGCCTTTCAATAGGGAAAGTGTGTGGCTTTGACTCATGTCTGTGCTTTGCATGCTACATGTATATATGCTCAGTGGGACATGAATTAAAGGCTTTTAATTATGTTCATGGATGTGAAATAGCAAAAATTGACCAATATCGTTTGTTGCCTTTCTTCTGTGTCTACACATTTGTAATTTCCTTTCCCAATTCCTTTGTAATTCTTGGGAAGTTGGGCTGGTGTATGGGTGTGTGTGAGGATAGGGTTGGGGAAGGAGTAGAGAGATCAACAAATCTTATTATATTAAATGTATTCACATGTAATGGGGATACTCACAAAACCTCTCTCTCATGTGCTCCATCAGTTCTCATGAAGCCCATCTGAAGATGAGTTGAGCTCTTTTGGCCTTGTCTAGTAGGCCATGTGTGCTTTGGGTCAGTGATGAAAAACGTTATCTTCATCGCTTTGGGTCAATGAAGAAATCCCTTGGTCCCTCAGCTAGTAGCTGGGACAAGGGAAATGCGTCAAAAGAGTATGAGTCAGAGGATGAGTCGTCACTCAGATTTTAAATGGAGAATCAATGTGTAGTTTTGCTCTCTCCTTATCTGCCAAGTGTGGAGGAGTTCTTTTTGCCTCTCCTTTGGATTTTCCTTTATCCAAGCCAAGTGGGTGGCTCAGTGGCCAATCCTCTTTTGATGCATCCCCCTCCACTGCTGATCCCAAGGGATTACTACATCATTCTAAAGTGTTATTTGAAAATTCTAAGTCCTTTAGGGCAGAATCCAAGAACACTAGGCTCATGGGAAGTGGCCAAGGACAACTTAAACTCAGTTTAAACCACATAGGCTCTATGGGACACCACCTAGCAAGAGGGTATTGGGAATAGGGAGAGTGAGAGGTTTCATGTCGACCCCATTGCATGCAGTGTGTATACATTGAATGGTGTTGAAAGATATTTTGCAATTTTTAACTTTCATCTGAAAACATGAGTCAGTTGTTATTGAGTAGAATCATCATATGGAGTTTCTTACTGAATGTTATTATGGATTGAGTTCATTTTTAAAAAATCTTTTGATCAAGTTGCCATTTGTTCACTGAAGTTACTAAATTGTGACTCCCTAGAGACTCAGTTCACCCAGATGAAGTTAAAGGGACTTGTTGGCTGTATTTGCCTATTGTGCCACTGAATAAAAGGGACTTTTTGTTGAAAGTCTTTTTTGTTGAAATACATAGAAAACAACACATAAGCTTTTTGTGTCAGATAGACTTATTTGGACACAATCAGCTATTAAACACATATTTAGTTTTTTGGATTGATTCTTGTAAATGTACATTTTTAAATGTTTTATGCATGTTCTTTTTTATCGCTGATACTTTCTAGTGAATTTTGCCTTATAACACATAAGCAAAACTAATCAGAATGAATAATAACATTGGCCATAGTTAGCACATATAGTCTACCACCTCTCAGATGATGCTTTATCATTAGTCCTCTTAAATCTAGAGTGGTTATTGCATTAAGCAGAGTTTTGAAGTCTTTCTGTGTTGTTTTCGTGTACATTATTGTTGTCATCAAGTCAATTGTTCTCCTGGTTATGCATTTTCCATTTTGTAATACTTCATAGATGTCTTCCCAACTCTCTCTGAATTCTTCATAGCCATTGATTTTTTAGGCCCAATAATCCATTAGGGTCATATACATCAGTTTGTTCAGCCATTCCCCAGTTGATGGGTATCTTCTTTCCTTCTATTTTGTTGCTACTACAAAAAATGCTGCTATTATATTTTCTAAATATTTTAATCAATTTTTGAAGCAGAAGACTACATTAATAAGAAACATCTGTATGTTGTCATAATGAATTCCAATGACATATATTTGTTCATGGCAGACACATTTTCCAGTGCCTATATTAATGTATTATAAAATATTTTTGAGAAAAAGTTCATGGAATAATATATCCATTTGAAAGAATCCTGAATATGAAACCAATAAGAGAATTACTGTATAAGAGTTACTATGTAAGAATGTCTTTTGTCTTTCTCATATTTCTATTTGAGCACGTATTCCCTGGTTTGACTGAAGTTTATTGCTTGTATTCTGCAGTCTGCTTCATAAGGCGTGGGTCAGAGAGGGCTTTAATTATGAGAATGTAAGTGGAATAGCAAAGATGGACCATGTCAATTTTTTGTCTTTTGGGATCTTGCCATGTTTGTGATGGATTTTTTCCCCCAGTCATATACTGACAACAACTGATAGGGCTTAAGTCCTTTTTATACTAGTGAATTTTGTGTGTGTTGTGTGTGTGTGTGTGTGTGTGTGTGTGTGTGTGTGTGTGTGTGTAAGACTACCATTTGAAAAATCAAGTATTTTTGATATGAGGAAGGAATTAAAGGAGAAGATTATGAATAGCTGTATTTGGCTGTATAAAAATGGAAATAACAACAATAAAAACCAGTAACAATGGTATCTATATAATACCTCTTTTGTGTGAGGCACTGTGCTAAGCACTTTACAAAGGTCATTTTATCCTCACAACAACCCTGGGAGGTAGGTGCCATCATTATCCTCATTTCATAGTTGAGGAAACTGAGGCAAACAGAAGTTAAGTGATTAACTCAGGGTTAACAGCTGGTAAATGTCTTAGGTCTTTCTCAGGTCTTGAACTCAGGTCTTTCTAACTCTAGGCCCAGCGATCTATACACTGTGACACCTAGCTGCCCCAGTCTGAAACTAACTGAAGATTTATCGCTGAACACCCATGATCTCATCAATACTTATTAAGTGTCTGCTGTATTTTAGGTAGTGTACTAGGCCCTGAATTAGAAAGGTTTTGCTAAAGCCTGTTCCCTATCCCTCTATAGCTTACAGTCTAGTAAGAGGGATCAAACACAGACAGTACCTATACTACACAAAAAATGCATAAGGAGTGTTTTAAAACATTCAACAAAGGGTCATGTGAGGTCTAAGAAGAAAGGACATATTTGACTCTAGGGGAATCAAGGAAGACTTTCTAGAGGACGTGGCATTTGGTTTGGGCTTTCTTAATTGTAGCATGGTTAAAATTCAGGGTGAAGAACCAATTCAGTGTATCTTCCAAAGGAATCAACATCAGATTACAAACCTAGATGGGGAAGAGTTGGAGGTGGGATTGTGAGATCTGGAAGTGATCGTGCTAAAAGAGTGGAGGTGCCAAAGATTAAATCAAGATTCTAGAAAAGAGATTCTTAATCACGTCTACAAGCATTCAAAACATATTTTGATAATTGTATTCAATATAATTTGCTTCCTTTGTAATCCCACGTATTTTATTTCATGCATTTAATGACATTATTCTGAGGAGTCAGTAGGTTTCACCAAACTGCCAAAGGGCGTCCATGAGACACAAAAAGGCTAAGAGCCCCTACTCTGAAAGTCATGTGGGGTCCTAGCCATAATGGAAAGGAAGAACACATGGGGGGCAGACACCTGGGGACTGGAGATGGACACAGACAGGAGAGGATAGATGATATTCAGGGGCCAGGGACAACCTTGAGGTACCTGAGCACAGATGGATGGAAGACAGACATGTGGGGCCAGACACCTGGGTTTGGACAGAAGAGCAGATGGGTGGAGTGAGGCAAAGGTGTCTTCTATCTGTGCCTGAGGTCTCAAGCCAAGGCCCCTGTTTGGTGGCAGTGGGGGTGGCTGTCCATTCTTCCGCTTTCATTTGGAGGGTTTTTTAAATTTTGTGTGTGTGTGTGTGTGTGTGTGTGTGTGTGTGGAAGGCACCAGAGCCCTGTGGCCAGGAGCAGGAGTGGAGAGAGTGAGAGAGAGAGAGAGAGAGAGAGAGAGAGAGAGAGAGAGAGAGAGAGAGAGAGAGAGAGAGAGAGAGAGAGAGAGAGAGAGAGAGAGAGAGAGAGAGAGAGAGAGAGAGAGAGTGTGCACAGTACTACCCTGTAAAGTTAACATAGGTGTTTTTTGGGAATGTGGAATTTCAGAATTCTTTATGTAAAGTTGAATAAAGTGAATTTATTTAAAGTGAGAACTGTCTGTAATTGTTGGAGATGTGATTTGAACCCAGGTCTTTCCTGCTTCCAAATTCATGATTTGTTGTGCCCTAAAACTTGGCTTTGCAATTCCAAAAAAGGTCAGAGATTACAGTGGTAGTGCAGATTTATTCTGAGACTATAAAAACTTTACATGAATTCTAAAATCCTCTGATCAGAAAGAGATCTCTAACAAATTTCCTCATTTGATAACATGAGAAACAGTTTAAAAATTTTTATTGATGTGTTTTTTAAAAATATATTTATTATTTCTAAAAATATTTAATCACCATCTCCACCCAGTGGCCCATCCCTTTTTATAAAGATTTATAAATTAAGAGAAAATGAGCAAAACCAACTAACTTATGTTTCTGACATTACATGCAGGGTTCAGTCCTTACCATTGCCATTAAGAGAGGGAGGTACATTTTCTGAATGTGTTTCCTGGGGTACTTATAGATTGTAATAATAGTGATGTCATTTTTGTCATTTAGACATCACTTTAAGGTTTACAGGGTACCTTTCAACAAGGGTGGGGAGGAGAGGTTGTATAAGTATAAGGTGGGAACTGTAGGTATTATTATCCCCATTTAGAAGATAAGGAAATAGAGGCTAAGGAAAATTAAAAGAAAAATTTAAGTGTTGTGAATGGATTGCCCATTATCACATGTAATTTATTTGAATTGTAATATTTCTGTAATTGTGCCACAGAAGTATATATTTAGATTTAAATTGTGATTAGAAATTTTATGAACTTTTTAATTAACCAGTGAAGATATTTTCCCCCATCTTGAATGGAAAAAGCCTATAACTATGTTTTGAATATTTGTTCTTTATTTGTCTTGTTAAAGTTTAATTACTCCTTTTTTGAACTCATTGGTCCAACCAATCTGGCCTTCCAGCTGTTCCTTACACAAATAACTTTGTCTCCCCTCCTTAGACCTCTACTTTGGCCATCCTCTATGTCTGAAATGCACTATTTTTTCGTCTTGTCATTTAGCATCCTTTACTTCCTTTAAGACTTGCTCAAATATTCCCTCCTAAATGAGTCCTGTCCTTATCTCCCCAGCTGCTTGTGCCTTCTCCCTCCCCCTCTTATATTTCTTTTGTTTCTCTTCTTGGTATACTTTATTAATACGTATTTTCTCTTGGCGAAACTGTAAGCCCTTTGAAGACAAAGGACTCTTGTTTTTGCCTTTATATTTCCAGAATCTAGCACAGTGTCTGACACAAAGCACTTATTTGTTTGTTAATAGATTGACTGGGATTTTGAAGTGGTTAAATTCAAAGGCTATTAAATTGTGTTTTGAGAATTCTTTTTTTTTTATAACTTATTTTGAATGCTACTGAAATCATCTCTCTACTGATCATGGTAATTTATACTTTCAAATGGGTAGTTAGGTGGCTCAGTAGATAGAGTGCTGGGCCTGGAGTGAAGAAGACTTATCTTCCTGAGTTTAAATCTGGCCTCAGGTACTTACTAGCTGTGTGACCCTGGGCAAGTCACTTAACCCTGTTTGCTTCAGTTTCCTCATCTATAAAATGAGCTGGAGAAGGAAAAGGCAAGCCACTCCAGTATCTTTTCCAAGAAAACCCCAAATGGTCACAAAGAGTTAGACATGACTGAAAATGACTGAATGACAACAACATACATTCTAATCCACCTTTCCCTCAGACCTTTATTTTAGTCATCAAGGATCATACATAGATTTAGAAACAGAGTGACCTTAGATGTCATATAGTCTAATCTTCTTAGATTCAGAGATTAAGTGATTTGCCCAAAGTTACACAGGCTAAGTTGTTAGAGTGGGAATTCAAACCCAGGAGCAGGAATTCTAAGTTCCATGCCTGTATCACTGTATTGTGTGCTTTCTAGCCTCACTATGAAAATGGTAACTCTCTTCTTCTGTCTCTGAGTAACTCAGACCCTGGCTTATGTGGGGAGCAGGTCCGGCTGGATTTCTTGTGTGTTCATATATGGGGAGTGAATTTGGAATCCAGACACACAGAATCAGGTTACGGTACCAGGTGGCAGATGAGAGCCTATGATTGGGGTGTGGGGGGAGGAATCATAGCATTGCAAAGGAGGGTACAAAACCTGAGATCTTAGGGCAGTAGAATCAATCCTAGTTAACAATTGACTATAAATCACAGGTGAGGATAAAGGAAGAGTCAGAACAACATAGGTTTTATTTATTCCATTGACACAAATGGTGAAGTCAAAAGCTGCATGTTTTAGGAGAAAGACAGTTGTGACCATGTTGAATGTTGAGGTATAAGTAGGATGTCCTGGTGGAGACATTTAGGTGGTATCTGGAAATACGGGTTTGTAGCTTGCAATAAAAGTCAGGGTTGGAGTGACAGATCTTCAGAGTTATTATTACCAGTGGAGTGGGTGGATTGGTTGAGGGAAGATATCTTAACTGTGTTGTTACTCCTTCCACTCCAATCCAATAAACATTTATTAAGAACCTACTATGTGCTAGGTACTATGCGAAATATTGGGGATACAATTAGTAAAAAGAAAATTGGTCTCTTTCCTCAAGGAGCTTATAATCAAATAGAGGGAGGTAACATACAAAAGGAAGTTGGGAAGGGTGGTGGGACAGGATGTGAGGGGATACCTGGAATGGGGGCATCTTGTTCCATGTAGTTGAAACCAGGAAGAGCAGCAGATACAAAATGGGGTGAGCCTTAAAGTTCAGTTTACCCTCTATAATGGAATACATTGGGAAGAGTGTGGTACTCTCCCCTCCAGTCAGAAGGAAGAGAAGGCTGAGTAAAGCAGTCAGTCAAGGTCCTAGTTAGCAGCATGTGATGAGATTGGAAGTGATGAGCTTAACCCGGAGAAGGACATCTTGTTCCTTGGAGTTGAAAACAGGAAGAGAAGCAGCTGTAGAATGGAACTATAAACCAGTTGTAATATTGGCACTATAAAATATGTGCCTGTGAGAATAAGGGTCCAGTTCAGTCCATTGGATCTTTTGCTACTAGAGAATATTTGATTCCTTATCAGAATTCTTAATTCATCATGATGTATTACTAGTTTAGAAAAACGATTTTATAATGAGAAATCAATTTGTCTGAAGAAGCATTTTTCCAGAAAATGCAAGGAATCCATTGTTACTAACTTTGCTAATGATATCAATCCAATGTGGAGAAGAATTTGATGTCTTGCGTATTATAAAACTAGGTGGGAATTTTACATAAATATCTTATGATTTTTTTGTTTATTGAAAAATCCCTTTATTACCATGTAGTTGATTTCCACCTCCAAGAATAAAATGAGAAAATCTTACTTTTTATAGTTGAATAAACTTTTAGAAATTTTGTCATTTTATTGATATATTATGTTATTACTTATTTCTTCCCCAAATATATCCTTTCCCTTCTACACAGTGAACCATCTATTATTATTATTGTTGGCTGTGGTTATTTTTTTTAAACACCAGTTCTCTTTTTTTCAGGAAGTACAGGGGTCACTTATGGGCCTAATTCTACTCTCACTGATGTGGGAGCTATTACCTGAACTATTTGCCCCCTTTGTATGGGGGACCTGTACTCCCAGGGCTCATCATCTTAATGCTAAACCTAAACACGCCATTGGCATAATGTATTATGGCTCAGAACTGCTGAGCTCAGGAGAGTTGCCAGCCTTCACCTCCCTGGTAGCTGTCATATCCAGCTGAGCCATCCCTCATAATAAAGAATTAAAAGAAGAGGATAAAAAAGCAGTTCAGCAAAACTAACCACATCAACCTGTCTTACATTAGGCATAATGCTCTGCACTTGTAGTTCCTTTTCTTCACAAAACAAGGAGAGAGAGATATATTTTCTTGTCTTTTCTCTAGGACCAAGATGGGACATTAAAAAGGCAAAGAATTATTTTTCTTTCCTTTCTTTCCATTTCTTTCCATTTCCATTGTTGTAGTAATTGTGTGTGTGTATGTTGTTCGTTTTAGTTTCTGCAAGTTCTTATGTGTCTTCCCATGCTTCTCTGAATCCTTTATATTTGTTTTTATGGTACAGTAATATTTCATTACATTCTTATACCATAATGTGTTTATTCATTCTTTTGTCAGTGGATTTCTTTATTTCTAGTTGGTAAATGCTAACCTAATTTAGAGTGTATGTGTTGTCCTTGAATTTCTTCATTTGCTACATCAAAGAGCATCTTCAAAGTATTCTCTGTGACATGTACAAAATCCATAAGGACTGTTGGAAGGGACCTCAGAGGCCATCTACTCTGACCTAATCCTGTACAAGAGTCCCCCCTCTGTAACATCCTCAACAAATCATCATTCAGCCTTTGCTTAAGACCTCAAGTAAGGGGAAACCTACTACATTCTGGGGCACTATTGGATATTCTCATTGTTAAAAATTCATTTCTTTCCAATAAGCATAAGTCTATTTTTTTTCAACTTCCATTTGTCTTTCTTTGTGTTTGTTGCCCTCTGGGGCTGCAGTCTAATCCTACTTTCACTTGCTATCCCTTTAAGCCCTTGAAAACAGCTCCCTTATATTTCCTGCCTTCTCTGTGCTAAGCAACCCCACTTTTTTCACCTGATCCTTATGGGGTGTTATTGGGAGAACTCTAGATTCTCTCCATTTTACAAGTCTTTTCTGTAATGAAATGCCCAGGCAGGACTCAGCACAATATCCTAGATGTGGTTGGAATAAGGCAAAAGAAAGAGGGACTATTATTTCCTAGCCCTGGATGTTCTGGTTTTCTTAATGCAGCCCAAGATAACACAACATTATTACTTCCTATGAAAAATGAGGTATCTTTCTGAACGCAACTTCAAACAAACTCAATTCAAACAAACAAATATTTCACAAGTAAATTCAGTGGGCAAGGCACCATGTTAGGATCTGTAAAAATAGCACTACCAAAATAATTGATCATGGCCCTAAATACTAGTTAAAAAATAAGAAGTGTAGTTAATAGATATGGCAGCATTTAATGTTGAAATCACCAGTCTGAAAAAAAAAAGTTGACTAGCTTTAACTAGTTAGATACTTTATTAATAAGATAATGTTGACTTTGTGTAAATTTGATCTCATAAGTAAATATATAAACTCTAAATAGGTAGGTTAGTTTCAACTTTTCATTTTGGTTTTCATATTTCAATGATCTTTTTATTTCCTGTGAAAATTGTAATTAACTTATAATCCCTTTTACAATGGAAAATAATGATTCCGAAGAAAGTTGACAAAAGTAAGTTCTGATGGTTTTTAATTTTTGCTTTTATAGATATCTGCACTTTAATCAAATTGAGACTTTGGACCCAGAATCATTCAACCATCTTCCCAAGCTTGAAAGGCTGTAAGTTTTCATTTTTTGACTGGAATCCAGGGGTTATTGAGCTGATCTGATAGGCACTAGGAGGTCTATGAACTTGGGTAGGAAAAATAGTTTTATTTTCACTATCCTTTGGTTACATTGGTAAACCTATGTATTTTATACATTAAAAAAAAACCCTTACTCTGAGAAATGTGTCCCAGACATTATGTAAGAAAGGTTGAAATCTGTTGCCTAAGACAATAATACTAAGTAATTACCTTGGAGCAGTGTCATCTTATTCACTAAGTTGGCTGGTCACTAGGTCTTAAGTTTAAGCACTGTCCATTTTAAAAAGTTAAAATACATTTTCTCATAGTAGTATCATTTTAAAAATTAACATTATTGAAACTGGGCTATAAATTAATGCTGTTTACCTCACAATTATTGAGTAGTTTCAACAAACCAATGGTGATCTAGAATAACGGTAACAATGGTAACTTTCAAATGAAGCAGAAAATAGAGTCACTTAAATCTCCCAAAACACAAATTTCTAATCATTCATATTTAATGTGCTTACATTATACTGATTCATTATATTCTTTCATTCAACAGATTTTTACATAACAATCGAATTGCTCACTTAGTTCCTGGAACATTTAGTCACTTGAATTCGATGAAGCGATTGTAAGTAAATGAATTTTTTTTATCTAAGTCAAGTCAAATTCTGCGTTTATGATGTATGCAGATCCACAGCTTCTTTTTCTGTAATGTTGTATAGTATATAGTTGTCTTTTCTTATAACACTTAAAAGCATGTAAATGTTATCCTCATGACTTTTTTTTTTACAGATGAGAAGAATGATACTCAGAAAGGTTTGAATGACTTGTCTAATGTCATTGGGCTGAATAAATCACATCAAAGTTTTCCACTTCCAATTTCAATTTCTTGACTATGATACCATATTGACATACATTTATGCATATTAGTGTCTATTTAGCCATTTCCTTTGATTGGTATTTATAGAAGCTTATACCAATCAGAAAATCTGTTTTAAAAGATAACAAACAATGTAAGTGTTGTTTTTTCTTTTGGTGGGTAAGATTATTGGTTATAAAATATAGCATTTGTATTGAATAAATCTTGATAGATTTTATAAAAATTATTGGAGAATATCTTTAAGCTCATATTTAAATTCTCCTTATTGCTTTGTAACATAGTGTGTTATATTAATTCCTCATAGACTAAGGAAAAATAACTTCTATTATGTCAGTTGCAATTTTTTGTTTCTAGGCATGAATGTATAGCTAAACTGTTTAAACTTAGTTAAATATACCCTTTCTTCAAAGACTGCCAGAATAAGAGCATTTATCCTCACAATAAGGAATTTTTTTTCAATTAGAAATTTATCTTTCAGTATTTTGTCTTTATTAAGGAATAAGTATATTCCTTTTGGTAGATATTAAGCACAATGATCTTCATTTTTAATTATCATTTGATTATTCCTGAATACTGCTAATGTTCATCAGTCTACAAGACATTTATTGAATGCCTACTTCATGAGTTGTGGTAACCATGGTGAAGAAGATATGAAGGAATATAGAATAAATTTCCTTTTTTCATGGAATTTACTTTCTTGTTGAAGAGAAAAGACATATACATCTAAGTATAACTAAAGGCTCAGAGTATTACAGAATAAGTGCCAGATGAAGAGGAGCCAATATGGGTTCATGTAAGAAAAGTTGTGTCAAGTTTGACTCATTTTCTTTTTTGTCAAAATAACTAGTTTGGGGAAACCACTGTAGATGTGTCTATATTTTGACAAAAGACTTGACCAAGACTGTCCTAATGTTCTTGTGGAGGAATTTGGGCAAGATGTTATAGATAGATTCATAGTAGAGTGATTTTATAGAAAGTGGGTTGATTTATGTCTGCCTGGAAGGAAGTGTTTCCTGGTGTTCTCCTGGCTATCTTCTCATTCCTGGCTTGTTTATCATTGTCATCAGTGTTGGAAGAGGCATGGATACATGCTGAATTTTTCAGATTCACACTCATCAGAAAACTGATAGGGGTAGGCGACATGTTGGATGACAGGATCAGGATGCAGAAAGACCTTCACAGCTTGAATCCATGGTAAAGTGCAACAAGATGAAAATTAATATGTAAAATCCTGCACTTGGGTTCAACAAATCAGACGCACAAATACAGCTTGAGGGAAATAGAACTAAGATAATATTTCAACATGTGATGAGTATGACGCAGCTGTTCAAAAAGCCAGTGGAATCTTAGTCTAATTTAAAAGAAAAGTACTATCCAGATAGAGGGAGGTGACAGCCTGCTTCCAAACTGTGAATGGATGAATGAATAAATGAAAGAATGACAAAATATTTATTAGGTGCTACATGCAAAGTAATGTGTTAAGTGCTGGAAATAAAAATAGAAAAGCAAGACAGTCCCTGTATTTGAGGAGCTCCTAATTTATTATGGGGATTTAGCACATATAGGAAGTTTCAGTTGCAAGACAGATGGCAAAGTCCAATAAGCAAGGCCTATGGTAATGTAGCTTCTTTTGTGTAATTTCTAGTAATAACACCATGCCTATTTCTGATGTTGAACCATTTAAACAGTGCAAAGGAATTTGGTAGTAAAAACTTTGTTTTTTCCTGTTTTCAGTAGTTGTGGCTGCTGAGGAGAGTGCAGGGTGGGGTACCTGTAGAGGTAGTTAACAGGTTGCCTCTCTGATGGTCATTCTTCTGGACACTGGCCATGAGAATTGGGCTTGTAGCAGAGTTGATTCTCTGGAGGATGATGCTCTCCCTCAGCATATTGAGCTTATCTGCCAATGGGTGACAATTGGTTGGTGGTTGGTATTTGTGATGAGTGTGATGAAACCCTTCTCTACAAAGTTGCTTCTTTCAATGATTGCTATATAGGGAAGGCTTAAGGCAGAACAGTTTGCCTGGGAATGGAAGTTTCTAGAACTCTGACTCTGGGTTGGGCTACCAACACCTTAGTCTGAGGGTAAGTTAGAGTTGAGGCAGTAGCTGTGGTTTAACCTATCTGGCACATGCTACCTCTCTCCCTCAAGATTCTTTTGTTCTTCTGGTAGTAGAGTGCATTCAGTTCTCTTCTAGCTCTAGACCTATTATCGTGTAGTCTGGGATCTATTTTCCTCTAATTCTGTATATCATATTTAATAAGGAATATGAACATGTTGGAGTACATCCAGAAGAGAATGGTGAGGGATGATAAGGGGAGATCAGCATGGTATTTTAGAATGAACTCCAGCTCTGGATTCAGATGATATGTGTTCAGATCCCACCTCTGATGGGTACCTCCCTTGGTGGCCTTGAGCAAGTCAATTAACCTCTTAATATCTCAGTTTCCTCATCTGTAGAATGAGGGCCTTGGACTTTGATTGCCTCTAATATCCCTGGATGTTTATTGCCTCTAAGATTCATTTCTAGATCTGTGACCAACTCAAAACCACCATGAGTATTGGTTCAGAATTTATCCTGAAGAAGAGAAGACTGATGGGAATATGATAGCTATCGTCAAAATTTACAAATTTATAGAAATTTCATTTGAATTAAACTTCTGGTTTTACCCCAGAGAGAACTTAGTAAGGTAAATGAGTAGAAGCTATAATGAAGTAGATTTCAGTCCAACATAAGGGAGAATTTTCTTATAATTAGAGTTGTCCAAAGATGGGGTGGGATTCCTTGTTAAGTAGTGAGTTTTCTTACCACCAGAGTTGTTGAAGTGGGAACATAGGATGATCACTTTTCAGGCATGAGACTAATGGGATTTATGCTTCATTCATTTCAGTTGTTTGGGCTAGATGAGTTCAAAAGGACCTTCTGATTGTAGTATTCATGGGTTCTGTATATTTTCAATTAGATTGTAAGGCTTTTCAGGAGGGACCATATAGTATATATCATGCATGTCCATCTAGCATAGGACTATGTGCACAGTAGATAGTCAGCAATATTCTTGATTAGGTTAGATTTGTGTTTTGAACCCTAGCACCCTTGTCTGTCAGTCTTCACCATATTTCTTTCTTTCTAATTTTTCACTGGCTATTTCTTCTTTATTAAAAGGCGACTGGATTCAAATGCTCTCCATTGTGACTGTGAAATCCTGTGGTTGGCAGACCTGCTAAAGACCTATGCAGAGTCTGGAAATGCCCAGGCAGCTGCTACCTGTGAATATCCCAGGAGGATCCAAGGGAGATCTGTGGCCACTATAACACCAGAAGAACTGAATTGTGGTGAGTTTTTTCCTGGCATAATTCCAGTTCAGTTTGTCTGAATGAAGTGCCAGCACTGAAATGAGCCCTCTCAGGTTCCCAGATTACATTTTTTGGTTGTGTTTTGGTTTTTACAAAGATGTGTGTGAAACTGTTGTGTCCTAAATAGGCACAGGTCTATTTGCAACAGTTAGTTATTACTTGGCCTTAAATTTTTTTAAAATAAATTTCAGAAAGCTACTAAGGAATTGCCTCAGCGTCTTTTTTATAATAAAACTTTTGGTTTTTCTTTTCTTTTTCTGAAGGATAATTGCTTTTTATTGAGAGTAGCTTCCACTGATATCTAACACTGTCCATCATAGTGGACATTACTGTAACCATTTTCTTATCTTACCTCATATCTTCTCTATGTAGGAACCAGGATTTTAGGAGGAGATATGAGCTTCCTGGAACTAATAAAAATGGCCAGTAGCAAATGCAGAAAGGTTTTGATGATATATTCAGAGACACTGGAATAATTAAATAGGAGTAAGCTGGTGCGTCTTTGATCATAGGATCTAAAGATGAAATGATGTTAAGGGAACATCTTATCTGATAGATGAGCCTAGAGAAGGGAAATCGCTTGCCCAAGGTCACATAGATAGTGAGTAGCAGAACAAGGATTTAATTGAGGTTTTCCGAATCCATCACACTGAGCAGCTGTTTGTGAATCTGGATTTTTGGGGAGAGTTTGTGCAGTTCCCCATTTCCATTTGTCAGCTGCCTACAGTTGAGTGGATCCTGGGAGAAAATGTAGGTTTACATTTATCAAATGTTCAATGTATTCAGAACACCATTCTGGATATTATTGGGGAAACTACTAAAGAAGAGAGATAAGAAGAAAACCTCTTAGAGTATTTTTTTCCTTGTTTAACTGGTATTAAATGTATGTTTTGTGATAGAAGCATATTCCATTCCCTCTGTATTGTTATGGTCTTCTCTATTTCCTATGTCAGTTTATTTGTGAGATCTTAACATCTATTGTACCTGGTCCTGAGGTCTTTTGTCTTTCTCAGTAACTGTTATAAATTGATTATAAAGATAATATGGTTCAGTTGTATTGGGTGCAAGGAGTTTTTCCAGGCACTCAGGATACAAATCCACACAGCAGAACAGTTCTTCCCCTCAAGGAACTTATGGTCTACTAGGAGAATATAGCATAGTAATAATTTCTGTAGTCTTTCAGGTTTGCAAAGCTCTTTCCTTACAACATAGTGACATAGGTAGTTGAAATTCTTGTCTCCTGCATTTACTGGTGAGGAAACTGAGTCATTCATCAGTGCTTCAGTATATTGCTAATGATCACATAGCTAATAATAAGTGCCTAAGAAAGGATTTGAATTCAGATTTTCTGACTCCTGGTTCAATACTACTATACCACTTTGTCTGTCATGGATAAAGAAAAATAAATAGAAGGTAATTTGAAAAGGTGAAGAATATTAACTAGTCGCAGTAGAGCTTTCCAGAAAGGCTTCCTTGATAATTGAGTTATTAAAGAAATGACGTTATAATTTTCTTATGACCTTACACACATGTGTATGTGTATTTCTTAAACCCCTCCCCCCAGATCATCCAATAGAAGTCCACAGTTTCCTACACAATCTTTTTTTGCTATTCTTTGTATATTGAGATGTTTGTATTTGAGGGATTCACATTTAATGGGGATGGTAATACAAATAGGTTTCAACTGCAAGGCAGATGGAGTCCCATGGCCCTTAGGGTTCTAAGTTCACAGCAAAAAAAAAAAAATTTAATTAAACAAACAAAAAAAACAAAACAAAAAGAAAATGGCTGGGGAATGTTATCTAATTGCTCAACTCTGGTCATATTTAGCAAAAATAAAAAAGTACATTGGTTTGTTTTGATATCTGAGGATGACATGAAGAGAGTTATTTTTAGTTTTTCTTCCTTTTATTCATGTACTCTGGATATTCCCATGAAGTATATTGAACTATGTTTGAACTTTTGTAATTGAGAAAATGTAATCACTATATAGCCTGACAGATGCTGTTGCCAAAGTTTATTTATTGCATGTCCAAAAGGAGAAATAATATTGGCACTGTGGTGCAGTGGCTATACCACTAGATTTAAATTCAGAAATCCCGGGTTCAAATTTTGGCTCTAATCATTAATAAACCACATGTCCTTGGTCAACTCACTTATCGCTGGGCCTCAGTTTCATCCCTTGTATAATGAGGTGGTTGGATTAGACCATATCTTAAGTTTCTTCCTAGCCTTAAATTCAGTGATCATACAAAGAACATACAGGCAGAACCTTTTAATTTGTTATACCCCTGATGCTATGTATCGTAATATAGGTGATGCCTAATTTCCATTTTGTTCATTTTAATTTCCTATAGTATCTGCTCTTTAGTCTCTGGTATATATAAACATATATGTTTATGTCCATACATAGATGCATATAGGTACGTTTATGTACGTACTTACATGTGTATATGTACGTGTACATACATGTAAGTTATCTCCTTACAGATTGTTATGGGAGAAAGAACAAAAGAGTAAGTTAGAGAGACAAGAAGATAGACCTTCTTAAAGTGATTCCTGCATAAACTGATTTGAAGAGGACTATTTCAAACATAGTAGAGTAGGAGCATGATGGATAGAGACTATAGGTGTGGTTTTATAAATATAAATAAATCAGAAATCTGGAAATAAATCAGACGTCTGTGGCCACCAACTTGTGTTTGCAGTTTCTTTAATTTGTGATTTCATGAATCTATAAAATTTCTTACAGACAGGTCTAGTAATTACTAAGCAGTTTTCAGTTCATTTTTAATGTTCAGGGTACAAACTAGCCTTCTAGAGCAGGGAACCATTTGTAGAGTTTCCTAAAATATTTACCATGGTGCATTTGTCACATTCTTTTAAAAAAATGATGAAAGTAAAATATCCTCATTTAGTTTTACTTGACAATTTTAAAACAATACTTCATTTTCATTTCTTGATGCAGAAAGGCCAAGGATTACATCAGAGCCTCAGGATGTGGATGTGACCTCTGGGAATACAGTCTATTTCACTTGCAGGGCTGAAGGCAATCCTAAACCAGAAATAATTTGGCTTCGAAACAAGTAAGTCAGAAGAAGAACAATTACTCTACTACAATACAGTAGATATGCAATATTTTTGCATGTGAAATAATCACCATCTACCATATTTACTGGGTTTTTAAAGCCTACATTCTTTCTTTCATTGAAAGAAGAAAAACAGGAGCTATGGTTTCCCCATCTCATTCCTGTCTTTCCTACTTTTTTCCTGGGCTTTGAGACTACAACCAGAGATTCATGGGAGCTTTAAAAAATCTTCAGTCAGATTAACAATTATACTTTGATCTAAGTTAGAATACAGACATTTTCTCCTGAGTACTTTTTTCCAAATAATGGAACATATTCTGCTTCATTAGAATCTGAGAACCTTGAAGGCTTCATTTTTTTTTTCATTATGTACTCAGTATTTAGCACAGTGCCTGGTACAAAGTAAACTTGTAGTAAATGCTTGTTAACTGCCTTTAACTAGATATACAGTGCTGTCCAGGCCCAAAGACAAGAAGATCTTGTTATTACTTTTACCTTTGTCCAAATTAAATTCTTTCTTCCCCCTTCTCTCCACCCCCCCAACTCCTCCTCCTCCTTTTCTTCTGTTTTTGGGCTTCTGTTCACTCTTTATGGTCTTTGAGTCTAAATAGTTTACGGGCAATGGCTCCAGACAGTAGTAAACTGGTAATTACCCCTAGCAGGCTTATCTAGATGAGGGGTGATTTCTTTGCACATTTATTGTTTCAAGTTTCAGGTTATTCTCTAGGGAGAAATTTGAGTAACCAGTTGGGACTGTAGTGGTTTTTGCATGCATCTTTCCCTGAACTAAATATAGTTAAGCTCTAAATATGATTCTTGAAAAGATTTCCTTTAATCCTAAATTGGGAAACACTACCTTTTTGATTTCCCGTTTTTGAGTCTCCCCACACTGACATCTTCACACAAAGCCCATTATTGTCATTTTTTTTTTGTAGCTACTAACTACATAGGGAGATATTTAAATAGGCATAATCTTTCAAGGGCCTTTTAATCTCAGATAACACTGGTGTATATGGACATTTAGATGACACAAAGAAAACTGAACAAAGCAGTGAAATAATTACATAAACTATATGAAGTGATCATATCACAAGTATTTGTTGGATAAATGTTATCTTGTTAATGGAGAGTGAAGGGATGTTAGGATTCCCATGCATGGAATCTGGTATAGCTGCCATTTCTCCGGTCAGCCAATAAAGCTTCCTAGAGGTTAGGAAATTTCAAGAGTTGCTGATTAAGATTTCATTACGATAACAGAAGATGCTTTGGCAGATTCATGGGAGAAGATAGTTTACTTATAATTACTAGCTTTAAAGAAGGTTTGGAGGCAGGAATAGGGTAACTAGAGAAAGTAGGTCTTAAAGATGGTCCTTTAACCCCTATTTAATGTGAGAAATTTTATGCTAAATATATTGGAGGAAATTTTTTCCCTGCTGGTATTTTTAATTATAATTTTCTAATATAAAGTTAACACTAAAAAAAAGTGTTCATCCAATTTTCTCTTCCAGCAAAATATTCCTATATTTGTCCTTCTCTTCAAGAATGTAATGCTTAGACAATGAACATTGCATTCATTTTATAAGCCAAAAAAAAATTACTTTTACCTGTGTTTAAAAAAAAGGTCTAAGGGGCAGCTAGGTGGTGCAGTGGATAGAGCACCGGCTCCGACGTACCTGAGTTCAAATCCGGCCTCAGACACATAACACTCACTAGCTGTGTGACTCTGGGCAAGTCACTTAACCCCAATTGCTCACTAAAAAAAAAAATAAATGGGTAAAAAAAAGGTCTATCTTGATGATCTAGCAAAGACAGTAGTTTTTTTTCCTCCTCAATTCTGTATGATTGAGGATGTTAGCTTTTTTTTTGAAGTGTTCAAACTTTTACCTCTTGTTGCAGATCATAATCTTGTTAAAATCTCTAATGATTTCTGTCTCTGTAATGAGAATCTAAAGCAAATTCACATCAGAAATGAAGATAAACTGTGGGGTGAGCAAGGCCATGTGGTTGTATGTGATAAGCCCTCTGTCCCTGGCTCCCGAACTTGGCTGCATGACCAAGTGAAGCTGGAATGTGTAAAGATAGTTGAATGTGGCAGGATTCCGGTTAGAGATTATAATTGTCCAAAGTAATCTTCAAAGTCATGTGAAGGATAAAGCTGTTAAGTGCCCTGGGAATCACACATGTGTAGACAGAAGTGGTGTTTAGGTTAGTTTGGGGATAGTAGCGATTTATTGTCTATCATAAAAGTGTGATAGTGAGGAGGAGTTAAGCACAGGTAAACTTTGTTGTTTCAGAATGATTGTTTTTCATTCTGTTTGTGAACATATTTTTGCTTTAAACTTTGAGTCAATCAGACCCCAGAAAAAATTCTGCCTCTTTAAAGTCTTTCATCTCTTGGTTGCATTTATTATTATTTCTAGGTCTCTGTCCACTTTAAAATCTTTAAGCCTATGTTTCAATTCCATTCATCAAATAGTTATTATGTACCTACTACAAGGCATTATACTAAGACAAAAATGAAGCAGTCTTTGCCTGCAACGAGCTTATTTTCTAGCCAGAAAACTACAGAGGTAAGCACATAGCTCCTTCTTAGGGACTGCCTGTTACATAAGACTACCCAAGAAAGGGTAGCCTTCCCTGAGAGATGGTGAGGGCATCAAGATGGGGCTGCACCTTGGGATTTGTGTAGTTCAGAATCCCTTTTCCCAGTGTATTCCTGAGTGTCTTTCTTTGTGATTAGAGGCATCTCCTGTGCCTGTGTGCTTAAAAACATGTTTAGACCATTAGATTTCTATCTTTACAGTAACGAGCTGAGTATGAAAACAGATTCCCGTTTAAACTTGTTAGATGATGGAACTCTGATGATTCAGAACACTCAGGAGACAGACCAAGGAATTTACCAGTGTATGGCAAAAAATGTAGCAGGAGAAGTGAAAACTCAGGAAGTCACCCTCAGATACTTTGGTTCTCCAGGTAAGCTGATAACAGCTAAGGAATTTTCTTTTTTAACCAGGGCCTCACTCTTTCCAGCATCCTGGATTATTTTAATCCATATTAGGTACCTTACTTTGTTAGCAGCACACTTTTATTTTAATCTATATTAGGTAGCTTACTTTGTTAGCACAATGCTGAGTATGATAAGCTGGGAAATTCAAAACCAATGGGCTGGTTTGAACTGTTGAATAACATGGTCCAATTCCATCTTGGGCAATTAGCTATGTAATGTTGGACCTTGGTCACAAGAATGAGTATGGAGGACTAACAATCATCACAGAGCGATCTAAATTATTGGATGGGTCCTTCAACCCTTCATCATTACTTGGGCAGGCAGGGGAGGGGAGGGGAAGGAATAAGATCAAGGTACATAGCATGCCTTCTTGATGGTGAGTTAGTATTGTCATCTTTACCTATAAAGAGTCTAATGGCAATGAACATAATCAGTTGAATATCATGCTGCTGAAGCAAAACTCTTCATATATTCAACTTAATACCTGCTAATATGCTTTCTTTAGCACAAAAAACCCCCATAAACTAATTAATTACTTAATGGGCAAGAGGATTTAAATAGTCTTAAAAGTAACTATTTGGGTTGTTTAGGGGCAACTGCCATGACTGGCGTAGATAGTATAGGAAGAAGAATAGTAAAAGTTGCACTGTTTATACACTTTTAGCCACCTGGAAGACTAAAACACAAGTAATATAGTGTGAAATAAAGTCATTTATATAAAGAAGTTCTTTAGCATTACTAATTATAACAGTGTAAAATTGGAAAGTATCCAAATAACACTAATAATATCTCACTCACATTTACACAGCACTTTAATATGCTTTTTAAAGATTTATATCTATATGTGTGTATACATATATATGTATATATACACATATATATACACACACGTATATATGTATATAAATAATTTGATCAGTACAACATCCCTAGGAAGTTAGGCTGTTATTATCCCCCTTTAACAGTAGAGGAAAATGAGGCTGAGGCAGGTTAAATGACTTGACAGTACCACAAGGCTAGTAACTGTCTGAGACAAGATTCAAACTCAGGTCTTGCAGACTCTAGTCTAATCCATTATGCCACTGTTATACCAAATGCCAAAGACTAGGGAGATGACTAAGCAAACTATGGAATATGATTCCACATGATGGAATACAGCAGATATGCTAAACGTGATAAATTGGTATGGAATAATGCAAAGTAGAAAAAATACAACACAAGATAGTATGAAAATTCTGATTGTGTTGTTGTTCAGTTGTTTCAGTTGTATCCAACTCTTCATGACCCAGTATGGGTTTTTTTGGCAAAGATACTGGAGTGGTTTGCCATTCCTTCTCCAGTGGATTAAGGCAAAGTTCAGTGACTTGCCCAGGTTCGCACAACTAGTGAGTCTCTGAGACTGAATTAGGCTCTTTTAAAGTTGCACATTTACCTAAAGTGGGAGAGAATTTGCAAAGAATTGAATAGTTTTTAATGGATTGCTATATTTGTTTTTCTTTCTGAAAACCTGATTAAGTCTCTCCCTTCTCCCCAAGGAAAATAGAAGAATAGTAAGATGTTTGAAACCTTGAAAGATTAGTCTTGTAAGAGAATGTCAATATTTGTAGCTCAGACCTCATAAACCACATCTGACCTTAGTTAATGAATTGTTCTCCTCAAAGCTAAGATGACAGCTTTTTAAAAAGATTTGTTTCAAAGACATTTTTGTTTTGTGTTTGACACCCTTTGAATATTATCCATTGAAAAGGTAGATGGAGTTGGCACCAAAGTGAATATTTCCTTCCATTTAGATGGTTAGACAAAGCAGGGTATTATGTTGGTGGAAATGGTTTCAAGGCTTTAATTTCTTTCTTTCAATCTTCCTTTCTTATTCTTGGAATAGCCAGACCCAGTTTTGTCATCCAGCCACAGAACACAGAGGTGTTGGTTGGAGAAAGTGTTACTTTGGAATGTAGTGCCACTGGCCACCCACAACCTCGAATTACCTGGACAAAAGGTGACAGGACACCCTTGCCAACTGATCCCCGTGTCAACATTACTCCTTCTGGTGGTCTTTACATCGAAAAAGTAATACAGGAAGATAGCGGGGAATACATATGTTTTGCAACCAACAGTATAGATAGCATCCATGCAACAGCTTACATCATTGTGCAAGGTAAGTGTCATCAAAAATGAAGGAAGAAAGGTCTGTTTGCAAATAATGGGATTGTCTAGCTGGCATGGAGCTTAATAGTTATCTGATATAATCTATTCTCTGTACTCTTTATATTTAGGTAAGAAAATTGAGGTCCACCAAAGCCAAGTGGCTTACAGGTCACACTGACAGGTCCAGAGTTAAATCAAACCCAGGTCTCTAGATTTCCATTCCAGTCCTCCTTCCATTACTCTGGCTCCTTTCTAAGCTTTTTGCATATTGATATATGTTAATATTTTCAACATACAATGTTAACAAAATACTTAATTTTACCTCTTTTAATGTGTTTTATGGCAATAAATTCTCTCCCTGTGGCTTCCCTTCCCCAAAGGTTGTGGGTAAATAAATATATCTCTATTTGGTGATATCATACACATCTTTCAAGCCTCAACTCAAATGCAATCTGAATTGTCATCAAAATGGAATCACGTGATTTGAGAATTGGTCATTCTCAAAGGCCACCTAGTTCAACTCATGTATGAAACCTCACTATAATGTACCTGACCAATCAGTGTTGGAAGTAGGGAAAAGAAATCAGCATTTCTATAGCAGGCACTGTGCTGAACACATTAAAATCTCATTTGATCCTCACAACTATTATTACCTTTTATTGCCATTTATTTATTTATATAAATAGCTAATAGTTATATATTTATTATAGATAATATTTCAATCTTATTTATATAAATATTTATTAATACAATACAAATATGATAAATATAAATAAAATTTATATGTTAAATTTATATAAATAATTTGTAATATATATTTTATAATATGCAATTCATAATAATATAATATAAAAGTAAATATATCTAAAACATATCTATTGCTGTTATTACCCCTATTTTACAGTTGAGAAAACTGAGGCAAACAAAGGTGAAGTGACTTGCCCAGATAGTAATTGTCTGAGGCCACATTTGAACTCAGGGCTTCTTGAGTCCAGGCCCAGTGTGAGAGACAACATACAAACAAATATATACAAAGCAAGCTGTATATAGGATGAGGAGGCAATAACTAACTGAGGGAAGAATAGGATTAAGAGGGGTTGGGAAAGGCTTCCTGTAAAAGATGGGATTTTATTTGGGCCATTTGATTGTAAGCTCCTTGATTAGTTCCCTAGTGTTTCTGGTATAGTCATAGAAGCACAGCTACAGTTATTTGACTCTTAAAAAGGATTACATGGGGGGCAGCTAGCTGGCACAGTAGATAGAGTACTGGCCCTAGATTCAGGAGGACCTGATTTCAAATCCGGCCTCCGACACATAACACTTACTAGCTGTGTGACCCTGGGCAAGTCAATTGAACTAATGAACCATATACTAATATATCAAACCATATACTAATGCCCAGAAGCAGTGATCACTCTGATTTTACTAAAAGGAATCAGAACAATTCTAACTGAAGCCTTTTAGTACAATCAGTCAATCAGTAAACATTTATTAAGTGCTTACTATGTTCAAGGCACTGTGCTAAACTCTGGGGATACAAAAAGAGGCAAAAGACTGTCCCTCCTTGCCCCAGGACCATCACCTAGAACTGTGATGCAGATCCAAGCACGGGCAAAGCAAGAGATTCCTGCCTCAGCACTGGTAAATAGATCCCTGCAATCCCCCTTTGATCAGCCATTTGATTCCTCATCAGTCCGTGGGCTGGAAGCTCAGGACGCAGCCACCGCGCTCTGCGCTCTGGAGCTGTCTCTGACCTCTGGAGCTGGCTCTGACCTAGCTCCTCTCTCACTGCAGAAACAGACTTTTTCCACTGACCTTCTAAGTTATCTTTGGTGTTTGTGGGTTCAGAGGTCTGGAAGCTGCCACAGCTGCCTGGGATTCAGTCCTCTGAGGCCTGCTCCAGGTTTGCTGTGGCCTGCGTGCCCACGCCACACTGTGCTCTTCTACCACCCAGCTTGATATACCTTTCTGGTCAACCATCCAGGTTGTCTTGGGCTGGAAATTTGCTTCACTGTGTCTTTTTGTAGGTTCTGCTGCTTTAAAATTTGTTTAGAGCCATTTTTTATAGGTATTTGGAGGGGTTTAGAGGAGAGCTCAAGCAAGTCACTGCTTTCACTCCGCCATCTAGGCTCCACCCTCCACATTTGGGTTTTCTTGGCAGTGATACTGGAGTGGTTTGCCATTTCCTTCTCCTGCTCATTTTACAGATGAAGAAACTGAGGCAAACAGGGTTAAGTGACTTGCCCAGGGACACAGCTATTAAGTGTCTGAGGCTAGATTTGAACTCGTGAAGATGAGACTTTTGACTTCAGGCCTAGCACTCTCTATCCACTGTGCCAATTATCTGCCATAAACACTATCAGATAAAAATAGCCTCCATTTCAAATATTTAACACTGGAAGGACTACCAGCATATCAATTGGCAATTAAATAAATCTTATAATTTGTGAAATTTTCCTTATCTATTCAAATGTACTTTAAAAACAAATAATTATAAGCAGTTATATTTTTACCATGAAATATAAATGTTCATTCTATGTTTTCTTTGATGTATAGATTTTTACAAATGTACTGTGTCAAGTGACATATCTTGACCTTTGATTCTTAAACTCTGATACTTCTTGTAACTGTCCTCAGAGAAGGAAATGTAGAATGTGTTATGGCACTTAGGTAATATTAACTCCACCTGTGTTAGTATCCTATCACCTACTATATTGGAAGCTCCTAGAGAACACCTATACTTTCTCCTCTCTATCTCACCTAGTGCTAACCATTGTATCTTATGTATAACAGGTATTTAATAAGAGGCTGCATTTGTACTATTCTATTCCCCTCTCTTATCAAGTTCTTCAATACGTAACCCAGATTACTTGTTCTGAAATTTAAGTCTGTTCTTTACTTTATTCTTTCATAAGAGCAGCTATTACCATCACTGATACAAGTATCCATTTTCATTTAGTAACTGCAAACTAATTTTTCATCCTTCACTTTTTAAAGAGTACATCTTTCCTCTTGTCTTTCTTTATTATCTTTTCTCTAACTTTTATTCAGCTTTTTCTTGTGTTCTATATCCTCGCCAATGCTCTTCAGTTTTCATGTTCCCAAAATGATTATAGTATTCTAATAATGGCTTAATCAGTGCTAATTATTAAAAGAAAATGACCTTGGCCATTCCTGTAATCTAATCTGTTTTTATACCCTATTATCACTTAAAAATACAACAAAATTTTTCTGTGATACATTAGGGAAGAAATTGCCTATGTGCTGTCATTGTCAGATATCATAAGGATTGTATAAGGTACAAAATAGAAGAAACAAAAAACCCCACAACATTCAGAATCAGAGAAACAACAATTTTCATTTTCTTAGATTAAATACACAAATATGTGGAGGGTAATTCAATGCTAACTCCTACACGAGGCCTTTCCTAGTCTGTCTCTTCTCCCGTGTATTATTGCTCTTTGGTTCTTGAAATTATATTATGTATACTTCGACTTTACTAATTTGTATCCGGTAGGATGTCACCTCCTTGAAGGCAAAGGACAGTTTTGTTTTTGTCTTTGTGTCCTGACCACCTAGCATGGTTTCTTGCACAGAGTAGGTGCTTATTAAATGTAGGCTGAATTGAGCCAGGAAACAAAGTAAACTAAAGACTTCAGTGCAGGTATGGCAATTTGAGAGGATGGGACCAGAGTCATAATTAGAATATGCTAACGGTAGGGTATACAACCCAGATAAAAGAGGTGACAGAATCAAATTATATATATAAAGATTATATAGAGCTAGGAAGTAATGAAATATATGGATCAGTAGACAAAAAAACAGCTGATAATGTGGTGAGAATTAATTATATTCAACACAGTCGAAAGGAGGAAATGGAGGAGAAGCTTGAGAAGCAGATGATAAACGTGACACAGATGCACGCTACAGTAGTGATGGCAAGCTTCATCTATTGGATCTTTCTGATAAAAGCTGAGTAGAGATGATAACTTCTTGAATTGCTTTAATGATGATTTCATCTTCCTAAGAGGTGAAAGAAGCAATATGAATAACTAATATTCTATACTTTATTATCATCATTAAGGAAGAAACGTATGTAAAAATCAACACAGTAGGAACTGATTGGAGGAAAACACACTTGAAATAAATATATTGGATAAAAGTTTGATTTCCAGTATCTATAAAGAAGTGAGACACATCTATAAGAATAACACTTCCTAATAATCAGAGCTATATAGAAATAGAACTGGGCTGCCTCTAGAGATTATGGATTCTGTTTTATTGGTAGGTGAAGGAATGAGGTATAGAATAGTTTATTTTGACCAGAGGGGGTTATAAGAGATAAAATTAGAAAGGTAAGTTAGTCCCAACAGACTGGGGATAGCCTTGAGTGCCACACAAAAGAGTTTGTATTTACCGAGTAATACAATTCATTTGAATAAGAAATTTTTAAGTGTCTTCTATGTGTCTGGCAATTTACTTGTTTGTTATTAGAGATACAAGACAAAAATGAAACTCTTAGAGAAAAGGTGAGATAGAGTCAAAATTTGGTCTGAAGTGCTCTGACACAAGAATCCAGCTATCCCTCATACTCACCCTTCTGAGAAAAGGAGAATGGGCTAAATAGACCCAAGGAAATCATTAGAAAACTCATATTTTAAAAGTCATATACAGAACATAGAAGGAAGTGTTCTTGATATATCCTTTGTTTTTAAATTATAGTCATTTACATCTGTACTCTAATACTTCGAGATTATTCTTTTCCTCTTTGACGTAATTTTTTCAATAATTTATTTTCTTCCTGCAGCTGTGCCTCATTTCACTGTTACCCCTCAAGACAGAGTGGTTATTGAGGGCCACACAGTTGATTTCCAATGCGAAGCACAGGGCTATCCACAACCAGTTATTGCCTGGACTAAAGGAGGTGAGATTTCTAATATTGTGCTTCTCTTTTTTCTTCTCTCCCACCCCAAGAATACTGATAAAACTATGGAAAGTACAATTTTCTGTCATTCATACAGGTTTCTAGGGTAAACTGCATAATTTTTTTGCTGTCAGTCTAGGACTTACTGGGCTGAGCCCAGATGAGCTGGACCTTCCCAAAGTTGACTCTCTGAGCCTGAGATATGCCTTATTCTTTGTGGACTCCTAAAAGTCCTATATATGTAATGCTTCCATTGCTAAGGTGTGTACAGTGGATATCATTACCTCAAATGCTGAGGAAACGTGGCTTCTTGAGGGGATGCTGAATCATCCAGTTCTGAATTTATAGTCCTCTCTCTCCCACTTAGTCCCTCTACTTTGGGTCATCTGGGTTAAATTAAACTAACTTGACAAGTGACATCAGAAGACAAGCAAGAGATGTTTTGAGAAAATCATGGTGAGAGTTGCACAGAGTTGGGGAGAGAGTTCTATATAAAGGAGGAAAAAAGCTTTTAATCTATGTAAATCTAAACTTTCTTGCACTGTTTTTAATATTGATACTGACATATTACACATTTTTATATTTGTACTGTGTTTATATATGTTTGTTTCTTCCATATTTTGTTAGCTAATTATGTTATTTGATAATTTTATTAATTTTGATTGTCCATAAAATGTTCATTGTAGCCTAGACAGCATCAGATAGATAGATGAGTGTTGGGCACAAGGTGCCTTCCTCTTGAATTTCAGTCTCTTTGTGGAATGCCCATATCTGATCTTATTAGTACATAGATACATGGCTCTTTTCTGGATCTCTCATTCTGTCCTGATGTAAACAGGAAGAGTGGTACTAGTCTAGAGCAAGGGGACCCATCAGATTTAATTAGCTCTTGACTTTATTTGATATCGCCCCTGAAGGAAATTCCATATGGGTTCATGCAAACGAGAGTTAATATTCAGAGGTTGGGGATTGATGACAGTGGATTTTGGGCCTTTGGAATACAAGGTTAATACTCCTTACCCTGAGCTCATGTTATTGAAAAAACTCATGCAGTGCTTGCTTTCTCAAACTGGTAATCAAAAAAGTGTTGTCCAGGGTTGCCAAATTCATGATTTCCTATCTATTTCAAATCACTTATTATATCATTGTATATTCTTTGAAAACAAAAACAAAAGCAGATCTATGATTTCATTGATTTTGGTATTTCCTAGTGAAGAATTCTCTCTACCAAAGCAGATCAGCACTTGCTCTTCAAATCAGTCTGAGGGACTAAAACTCCTTATGGTGTCTAGGGCACGGAAGATTAAACAACTTGTTAAAAATTACATAGCCATTATATTGGGGTGAGTTAGTAAATGTTTAAGAATCAGAGCTTTGAAACATGACATGCTTTTAAGTTTGATCTGCATTATTAACATTTTCTCCATTACTGAGCCATGATTTATAGTATTTTCCAATTCCTAAGGTATAAATGTTCACACTGAAAATTTAACAGTTATCTCTCTAGAGTAGGTTTGAGCTGGCTCCAGCACCTCCCTACCAGTATGTGTCATCAGAGGTATGTTTTAAGCCCAGGGTTTCCTCTTTTCTTGGCTAGTTCTCTATTACATCTTACTGCTTCTCTGTATAGCCTTACAGGGCCAAGGAAATAACTTACTGTTATTATATTTCAGGGAGTCAACTCTCAGTAGATAGGAGGCATCTAGTTCTTTCATCGGGAACTTTGAGGATTTCAGGAGTTGCCCTTCATGACCAGGGACAGTATGAATGCCAAGCTGTCAATATTGTAGGCTCTCAGAGGGTGGCTGTACATTTGACAGTGCAGCCTAGAGGTAAAGTCTGTTATTGGGTATGGGGTGCCGAGGGGCAATTGTGAACATTTGTTTTAGAGCAAATATATTTATTCATCTTTGCTGACTTTCATTTCAGTCTTCCTTACTGGGAATTACATATTTCACTTTTTAAATGTGGATTTATAAAATTAGCAGTTAAATCATATTATTGCTCCTTAACTCTTTGGCTTTAAATTTCAAAAAAGTTTGTAAGGATATGTGGAAATATGTTCATGTTTTCTTTTAGTTCTGTTAAAGCACACATAATAACACTCAAGACTGACTTATTCTTGTCTACCTGAATAGTAAGGGGTTATTTATGAAGTGTGGGGAAATTGACTTTCTTTGATAAATGAGATCCTTATTTAATTTGAAAAAAATCTACTTGTCAATGAGCAAGTCTTTATTTACTCTCCTGTGATACTTATTTTGATATCCCCCAAAACTTCACCCATAAAATAGCTCTACTTCAGTGCAGCATTTTAGCAGAATCTGCTTCATTTTATTTCTTAGTTCCATGATAATTTGGTTCTATTTTTCCACTTCTTGACTCTTGCTTTTCAGCTGTTCTAATCAACTGATATTTCAAGGACTCAATGATTTCAGGTGGTGGTGTAGGTACCATTTCCCTCAGTGGATTGCATCTCCACCATGGATTGGCCGATGGTTTGTGGAGTTGCTGTGACCAAAACCATTCGTGACTAGGTGGCCACCCTTCCACTTAAGCCGCCCTCGTTTGAATACCCAGCTTAGCATCCAGTTGTTTTCTTCTAATGTCCTCTTTAAAACTTCATTTAACAGCCTATACCTGTACCATACTCCTAGAAGTGTAGGAATGCACCACTTCAGACATGTGGGAGAATTCTAAGTAGCCACAGTGCAGTAGGGCTGGAGATGATGCAGAACCTGAGATAGTGCAGCATTAGGAGGGCGCCACATGAGAAAACAGAGATCAACACTTGAGTGGGCTGCTGTGGGAGTCCACTGGGGACATCGAAGCTCCCTACAATCTGTCTTCAACCTTTTCAGCCTTATTTTTACTTTATTCCCCTTTATATGAAATATGTTCTAGCTGAACTAGATTACTAACTGGATTTACTTGCTGGATTACTTACAGTACTGGATTACCTGAACTCAGCATTCTATGTCCTTGCAATTGCCTAAGTTTCTCCCTCGTGTCTGAAATGCACTCCTTTATGTTCATCTCTGCTGAATCCTGCTCTTCCTTTCAAGGTTCAGCTCAGCGTCACCTCTTCTGGGATGCCATCAATTATCCGTTTTCTCCACCATTCCTGCTACACATTCTCTGAATCTCTCCATTATCCCCATAATTCTCATATCATCGGTGCCCTACCCTCTATAATTACCTTGTAGCTACATTGTATGTATCTTACATATATATTTGTATGTACATGCTCATATCGTTAGTGCCCTACCCTCTACAGTTTACTTCTGGCTATGTTGTACGTATCTTTACACGACATCTCTCCTGTTAGAAATACAAGTTTGTTGAGAACAGAGACTGACATTTCTGTTTGTATAATTCCAGTGCCTAGCACAGATTAAGTGCTTAATAAAGGCTTATTAGTTGATTGATCACTTGTAATACATTAACCTGCATACATGTTTCCCCTTCCTACCCCCCACCCCATTCCCATGGTGAAAGGCCATCTTATGGAGAATAGAACGGTTTGATTTTAGTTATTGTTATCTAGTGTCTTAGCATAGGCTTTATGCTTGATGCTTTGTATGTAAGTACTTAAAATATGTATTGATTGGAATTGAATGATTCATCTGGTTAGGGAGAGGGATTATCATGTTTTCAGGTTCTGTTTGTAATTCCTTGCAATTTGTTCTAGGTTTTATCATCTGCCCATTGAATAATCACATGTCACTTTTCTTCTAGTTACTCCCGTGTTTGCCAGTGTCCCAAGGGATATGACAGTGGAGGTTGGCACCAATGTGCAGATTCCTTGCAGTTCTCAAGGAGAACCCATGCCAGTAATAACATGGAATAAGGTAATCTCTGTTGCTGGATTTCTTAAGAGCACAGAAATATAGTTTAGACTTCACCTCTATCTGGTGAAATTTATTAAGTGTAGAGCAACTCACAGCTGCCTTTCCCATGTTTTAGCAGAAAGAAGCGGAGAAGGTTCACAAAGGGCAGATTTGGGGCTGTGTCCCCACTAAAAGAAGTTCTAAAAATTTATGTCTTGAATTTGTTTTTAATGAAATGCCCAAGAAGTGAATAACAAACAATCTTACAGCCACCATCCAAATGAAAATAGGCAAGTCAGTTAAGAGGAACTGCTACTGAAGTTTGTGTCATTATTTGACTCCGTCCCTTTCATCCACAAACATCCTTCCCACTTGTGATGTCAAGGAGATTTCATGACAGATAAACTTCACATACAAGCAAACATGAATGCACATATGATAATATATGCACATGCAATATTATTATCCATGTTTAATATGTGTGTTTATGTGTATATTCATGTTTATACATATCGTGCATTGCATGAATTTATATGCATGTGTATATATTTTATATATATATATATATACACATACATACACATGTACAGGTGTGAATGTACACATACACACACACACACACACACATATAAAAGCACATATACACACAACACTTCAAATGGGTTGTTAGTGGCCCAGTTAGTTATTTACTTTGTTTTTGCATATACATGTCATGTTCATCTGTTAATCATGATTCTGTATTTTCTGTATATTCTACCCAGGAATAAAATGCAATATGCCCATCCATTTCTTCCTTGTTCTACTTGGTATAAGATTTCATTTTGGTCCTAGCATCTTAATAAACATTTTTTCAAATTAAATTGAATTTGAAAGGAAGGAAAAATAATAAATGGAATTATGGCATTTAGAATTTGTAGGGCTCAAATCAAGTCCTTTCATTGACCATTTCCCCCTCAATTCAATTCAGCAAACATTTATTAAACATCTGCTGTGTGCAAGATACTGTGCTCAGCACTTGGGATACAAAGACATAAAAAACCATCCTTACTTTCGAGAAACTTACATTTACATATTTTAAGGTAAACAATAATTGCCAACAAAAATAATTAATAAACTTCAAAACAACATAACAAGTTCTTATCTAACCCCCCTTATATTCAACAAGGAATAACCAAAAGAATGAACAAGTAAGCAAATAATATGCATTTGTTCTTTCCCTTCCAGATCTGTTAAAAAAAAATCTGCCTTTCTTTGCCAAGTTTCCTCAGCTCTTGTTTTGTAGATAAGGAAACTGAATCCTAGAGAAGTTAAGTGACTTGTCCAAGCTAGTGTCAGAACTAGAACTATGTGTCCTGTCTCCCAACAACTTTTATTTATTATATATTGAGAATATGTGATACTTCTTTGGAAGATGAGTATTTCAAAAGCCCAAAAGTGATTGATTTGGAGAAGTATCTTCTCTATCTACAACATTTATAGAATTAAGAAGTTCCCTATTCCTAAGAATTATATTTGGTCAGGAGCAAGTGAAAACCACTATGAGTCTCTCTAGGGGAGAGGTTCTTAATCTTTTTTTTTTTTAACTTGTGATGGATCCCTCTGGCATTCTTGTGAATATTATAGACTCCTGGTAGGTGGAACACCACTTAGTTCTAATGTTTGGTGTTGAGTGAAATAGATTAAATTCCTTCTGGGATTCAATTTTATGCTGGGCTGAGGGCACATCCTAAGAGATTCCAGTTTGGAGAATCATTCAGCAGAAAAGTAAGCATAAGAAAGTCTGAGTCTTCTTTTTCCAAACAACTAATTGTACTATTTTGTTCTAGGATGGAGTGCAGGTAACTGAAAGTGGCAAATTTCATATTAGCTCAGAGGGATTTCTCACCATAAATGACGTTGGACCAGCTGATGAAGGTCGCTATGAATGTGTTGCCCGGAACACAATTGGATATTCCTCAGTTAGTATGGTCCTAAGTGTTAATGGTAAGACTTAGCCACACAAATAGGAATTATTTTTTATAATTTGTGCAAGGTATTTTACCCAGCAAGCACCAACACCCTACAATGTAAAAATCAGATTGATCATTTGGAAATATTTGGATTGAAGAATTTAGAGAAGAAAAATATATTATAAGTTAGGTAGACAAAGTCCTTTATTTTGTAGAAACTAAGTGGCAACAAAGGCACGAGAGAGTTTTTAAAGGGGGCTGAGCTAAGCCAGTAGACAAATTCCCAACTTGGTGCTCGTTTCATTACATCAGACCATCTTGACCATCTTTAAGTCAGCTTGATCAGTTCTCTTCACAAGACTTACCTCTATAAGTGATGTAGTGGCTTGGTATGGATTTAATTACTGCTTCTGACACCTACTAACAATTGAACCAAGGAAAGTCACTCAACCTCTGAAGTTCTCCAGGCATTTCTCTAAGATTATGAATTATAGAAATATTCTTGATTTGCACTGATAGAAGGAATATCTGTCTCCCTTATTTCCCACACCAGTGAACCCACCTAGCCTCCCCTCAGTAAAATTACTTTTGAAATTGCTCTCAAAATAATAATATCGATTCTTTCATTAACTTGAATAGGTGAGATGTTTTAGGAATGGGGGAGTCTGTTCAGAAAATGTCCTTGATTCATATCTTTTTAAGGACACACATACACACAAACACACACAGAAATGATCTGATCTATTAAAACCATGCCCTTCCCCAGCAGGAAATACTTCAATTGCAAAATGAAATAGATCCTCTTTATTAATTACCAACATAAGGTGAAAGATGCTTATTTATGAGATTGCATAAGAAAGGACATATGGATCAACTTGAACAATACAGCAAGATTTAATCGGTTACTATGTGTACCACAACTGTATTGGGGCTAAGGAAAATGGGTAAAGCATTTCTTCTTATCTCAGAGAGATTAGTGTTTGGTTGGGGACAGAAGGCTTCTATTTACATATGACAGAAGCATACAACAGATTCTTTAGAGCTAAGGTTTATGGTACAGATTGTAAATATTATAGAAATGGTGAGAAAGGGCACATCAAAAAGGGGAAAAGTGTACTTAAGAAAACTTTGTAGAAGAAGGAAGACTTGAACTGGGAAATTTCAGGATGTGTAGTATTTAAACACATTAAGAGAGGCAGGAGGGGGGAAATCATATGAGCTCATGGGAAGAAAATCACTTGGTATGTTCCAGAAACTATGAGGAAACTTCTTTGACCAAAGTGGAAGGTGCTTTTGGGGCTGTGTTGGGATTGTGGAGCACTATGAAAACTAAAGAAAAGAATTGAGACTTACCTTAGTAAATAATATGGAGTCATGGAAACCTTATTAGCAGATGAATGATATGATGAAATGGATGTTACTTGTGTCAGAACACAGGATGACTTGAAGGAAGACTATCTGAAAGCTAGAACGCTATTGCTACAGTAAGCCAGGGGCTTAGGTATTAGTGCCTAAAACAGAGCTGTGACAGTGATGATGAGGGCTGTTGGGGAAGCAAAAGCTGTAAAAGAATTGGTAAGACCTGGAGACTGACTAGTGTGGTGTTGAAGCACAATAGTTTTGTTTTTTTTTTAAAGGAAAGCACTGGATTTGAAATCAAAGAATGCAGATTCAGCTTCTTACAGAATCATAGAATCACAGAATTTTAAGTTCAAAGAAGTCCAACCTAAACCCCCAAAGAATACCAACCAACAAGTGTTTAGCCAGTCTCTATTAAAGATAGTCTAATGAGGGATAACCCATTATTTCCAGAAACATTTCTTTATCTTGTTTGTGGTTCAGTTGTTTACACTCATGTTCTGATGTCTCTGTAACCCTATTTGGGGTTTTCTTGGCAAAGATACTGGAGCGGTTTACTAATTCCTTCTTTGCCTCATTTTACAGATGAGGAAATTGAGGCAAACAGGGTTAAGTGACTGGCCCAGGGTCACCCAGTGCCTGGGACCAGATGTGAACTCATGAGTCTTCCTGCCTCTCTGCCCTGTGCTCTTTCCAATGCACTACCCAGCTACCTTCTTTATAATATTGGAAAACCTTTGTTAAGAAGGTGGGTTTTCCACCGCTTTCCTCAAGGCTAAATTTGCTTCTTTGAAGCTTCTGTGCATTGTTCTTGGTGTTCTCCTTTGGGCCAAATAAAATAAATCTAATTCCTTTCCCATGTATCATAAGAGAGATGTCATCCTATTCTGAATCTTTGCTTTTCCTGGTGGCGGCTAGGTGGTGCAGTGGATAGAGCACTGTTCTGGTGTAAAGGCAAACCTGAGCTCAAATTTGACTTCATGTACTTACTACCTGTATATCCTTGCAAGTTCCTTAACCTGTTTCCCTCAGTTTCTTTAACGACTAAATGGAGACAATAATAGCACCTCCCCCCCACCAAAGTTGTTGTGAGGATCAAATGAGACATTTGTAAAATGTTTAGCACATGCCTGGCACATATTAGACACCATATAAATGCTAGCTTACGTTATTATTGTTGTTGTTGTTTCATTATCATTATTTAAAAAAAAAACATTTCTCAACTGATCTTATTATAAATTAGCAACTTTGGGAAAATCGCTTTATCGCCTTGGGTTTCAATTTCCTGATCTATAAAATGAAAAATGTTGGTAGACAATTTTTAACGTGCCTTTTAGCACTTATATTCTATAGCTTTATACTAGAGGAGAAAATAAAAAAGTCACTCCATGGACTTGAATTTGAGAAAATGAGAATAGTTCTTGGTATGTTCCCTGCCATTGTCTTTCCCATCCCAAATCAAAGTTCTTCAACCTCTCTTGTTCTACTTAGATCAGGATGACAAACTACTATTCCTTAAAAAAGAATGACTATAGTTTTCATCCTCTTTCTTTATGAACCTTCTACTTATTTCAGCTTCCAAGCAGTAGTGGCAAGAAATCCCTTTGAAAAGGATCAGCAGACTTGTTGGAAGTAGAAACAAATTCTGATGCACGGACTTGGAGAGTCATCTCTCTTGTGCTGTGGGTGAATCCAGCATCTCTAAAGAAGGATGTAGAAATCATAATAATATCTGGCCTATTTATACAATGCTTCAAGACTAACTTTTTTAAAAAATAGTTTTTAAAATGCTTTTTGTTTTTACATCACAGACATTTGTTCCCTCCCCTCCCTCAATCCTTTAAACTATTAATCCATTTTAAGAAGGAAAAAAATAAAATTAGTACTTTAAGGTCTGTGAAGCACTTTGCACACAATATTTCCATCGTTTGTTCATCATTATAACCCTGTGAAGGGAGAATATTGCCAGCATAATTATCACCCCAATTTTACAGATGAGGAAGCTAAGCTCAGAGGTCAATTGATTTGCTTATAGTGACACGGCTAAGTATGAGAGTCAGGACTTGAACTTAGATCTTTTATAATTCCTAGTCCAGTGATCCCAAGACCTTTTATTATTATATGTTTATATAATAATTATATAAAATAATTACATATAGCCCAAATAATAATAATAGCTAATATTTATATAGCACATATATTATATAATAACATAGTATTTATATAGCACTTATATGTTATATAATAATATATTATTTATATAACACTTATATATTATATTATATAATAATATCTCATTTGATCCTCACAACAACCCTAGGAGGTAGGTACTATTATTTTCTTTATTGTACAGATGAGGAAACTGAGGCAAACAGAGGTTAAGTGAATGCAGAAGGTCACACAGTTAGTATATATCTGAGGTCAGGTTTGAGCTTATCTTCCTGACTCCAGACCCAGTGCTCTCTCTATCCATTGTACATTGCACCACTGTGTGTGTATGTGTATCTAAAACACACACACACACACACACACACGTATATATGTATATACGTGTACACATACATAAATACATTACATATCCTAAATTATATACATAAATTTTGGGCCCAGAGGCAAATGAAACCTTTTTCTGTAGAGGCCTAAAATCTAAAAGAATATCTATCTTTAGCCAGCACATGACTACTCAGATTTCTAGATCAGTTTCTGATATTAGCAATTCTAAGAACAGGTTCAAAGTAGTCTCACTAATTCTGCTATTATATTGTATGTTTGTTCTTGGATTATGGGGAAGAAATGTACACTCCTGCTTAGATATGCTAATTTTTTTTCTTTTAGCTGTGCTAAAATTTACGAGTAAATGTAAAATCCATCTGAGAACAAGCTGTGTGACTAGTGCTATTTACTCTGTTCTGGGCCATTGACCATGGTCTATAGTTAACTTTTCTCATTACTTTGTCATGAAGCAGTCAATCAGCTCATTGTTTAGACAGCTTAATCCACCCCATCCTCCTCTCCTTACCTACAGAATCTTGTCTGGAAAATGAAAGGCTTTAATTTCCTCAGTACAAAACAAATACCTTTAAATAGAGTTTGTGATGAGTAACAAACTTTGGTTTTAAAAAAAAATGAGCCTGAGACAAAAAAAGTGTCCTTCTTTGTAAGTTTTAGTGATGTAGTGTCTAGACATAATTTTATGAGTAACGTGGGTAAGTATTTTTTTTCTGGTAATGGGCAACTTCTTGGTACTTTTGTAGTTCCCGATGTCAGTCGGAATGGAGATCCTTTTGTAGCCACTTCAATTGTAGAGGCGATAGCAACAGTCGACAGAGCCATCAATTCAACGCGGACACATCTGTTTGACAGGTATAGTAGAGATTAAAAAAAATGAATCCCTAGCTCCCTCTGATTGACAGGGACAATTTTTAAAAAATCCATACACTTCCATATAGAAATTTTACTGGTCTTCTGTTTGCTGCTGAAGGACTCAACAGCTTTTTAGTTTTTAAGTAACAAACAACATTAACATCTGGCTAATTTCTGGGGCTTACCACTCCAACTGGAAAAGTTGGCCTTCCAAATAGGAATATACCTCTGATTCACAAATAAAACATTCACCTAATATGAACTACTTTACTTTAATGATCTAATAGAAGCAAAATATTTTAAAAATTTATTAATATATTTATCACACACTGAGCTCTAAACTTGTTGCATTTTAATCAAGGTTGTGTTTTCTTTTGTATTAATTGCAGATTTTTTTCTTTTTTAAAAATTTTGCTTTCTGCTTTTGGATGAGTGAATAAGGTATAGTACATTCTTTTTCTATAGATTATTCAGCTGTAGAAATAGCAAAAAGCAAATATTTCATTTCTGTATATTGGTGGTTTGTTCCTCTATCTTCTCTCTTCAACTGTCTTCTAGTAGTATGATCACATAATTTTTCTCCCTTTTTTCTCTCTTCCTTTTAACTTGTTAGCCGCCCTCGTTCCCCAAATGACTTGTTGGCCTTATTTCGATACCCGAGAGATCCTTATACTGTGGAACAAGCAAGAGCTGGGGAAATCTTTGAAAGGACTTTGCAGCTAATACAGGAGCATGTACAGCATGGTTTAATGGTCGACCTGAATGGAACAAGTCAGTAATTCATTTAAACTCTTAAGTACCTAATGTGTGCTAGGCACTGGAGATGCAAAGACAAAAACACAATTCCTGCCCTAAGGACCTTACATTCTATTCAGAGGAAATGACACAAACATTAAAAATACGAAACGTATATTAAGTAATTTCTTGAGGAAACCACGGGGGTGGGGGGAGTGGAAAGGGAAAAGCATAAGCAACTAATTCCTGAATAAAAAATTATAAGCTCTCTTTCTCTCCTACTCCTCCTTTTCCCTCTCATCTTTTTTTTCTCATCCCTCTTTCTTCCCCCTCTTCTTTCCTATAGCTATTGCAGAAATGAATGAAAGGATCATTTTAGTCCTCAAGGGTCTGAGTCATTTAGGGGTTTTTGAAAATCCACGTATCTCTAGTAAACGAATTTGACTTTTAGGAACAGAAGTAGAAAAACCACTTTTTAGCCTTTTTTTTATTTAACAGTTTAAAATATCAATAGTGCCTAGATTTGTGACTTTATTGACACAGGAATTTCCTGGAAGAGGTAACTTCTCTACCAATTCGGTCAGCACCATCTCTGTAACTCAGAGTCTAACAGGTTGCCTACTGAGAATTAGGGTAATATTATAGGGTTAATTAGTGTTAGTATGTTTCAGAGACAGGGATTGACAACAGGTCTTCTTGGCTCTGAGGCTAACCCTATCCACTATCCCCTGCTAGCATCTGAAGTAAGAAAACAGCATTTTAGTTTTAAATAACATATCGTATTTATATCTGACTTATTTATGAGTCTTTTTTCATTGTCCATTTTCAAAACGTCAGAAAACATTGGCTGTTTTAAACTCACCATATCCTTTCATTTTAATGTGATTACAATTCCGATCTTCATAAGTAAATGCATCCAGAGGTACCAAGATTGAATCATTAGCATGTATTTCGACATTTATAGTTTGGAATGTTGTGGAACATTCCAGTGTGTTTTCTGGTCAAGATTTCTGATAAAGTGGCCAATTCCTGACTCAAGAGAAGGATACTGATAGATGACTCCCTTGAAATTATGTTACCCAGGAAGGAGAGGTGTGGATTTAAAAGTAGTTCTTTCTCAATGTGGAAGTAGAATGTTTCTCCCTAGCATTGCTGCATAACTGTTTCCTGTAGGTTCATGCAGGGTTTTGTGCATTCTTGGGGATTCTTATAAAGTCATCCATGGATCAGGAGCTCAAAAGAGACCTCAAAGGTTATGTAGATGAACTTCATTTTTAAGATAAGGAAACTAGGCTGAAAGCTGTTATTACTTGCCCAAGGTTATAGTAGGTAGTAAAAAGTGAGCTGAAATTTAAGTCCTGTATATAAAAGCCATTATTCTTTCTTTTACAACATATATTCTCTTCTACCTCTTGGCCCAGGCTCCATGCACATTTCCCTGCATGGGTAAATGTTGAAAGTTAGGACTTTGGACCATTGGCTTTTTCAGAAGGACGTTACCTCATGGTCCCAGTCTTGGAAGAAGAGATTAAAGAGCCTCATACCTGTCCCCACCGCCCAGTATTCTGCTTCATCCCATTCCGGAAGAGTGCACTAGAACAAAGAAGTCTTACTGAATCCACCCATCCTTAGTCCCTTAATCTCCCCACAGTAGCATGCTAAATTAATGGCACTTCTTTATGACTTGTGGGTCACTTTAGCAGAACCATTTATACTATGCCTTTCTTGTTTTGGTAAAAACAAAATTTACATACCCACCTTCTTCCCCCCCAAAAAAAAATCATGGTGTGAATGAATAAAATGCTTTTGATGAAGTGCCTGTGAGGAGAGGATGATCTCTGTTAAATACCTCAGTATGAAAAGTCTTACCTCAATTTTGTGTATCCCTAGCCCTCCTATTCTCCATATTTATCTGGCTAGTAAGTGTTATAAGTAAGTAGGAGGATTGATGACTATTCCTTTCATTGATATAGATCACAACCTATTCATGCCCTTTTATTCCATGTAATTCTCATCAGTGTTTTTCCACTAATCCTTCATAGGAGATTGATCCAAAATACTGGTGACCTTCCTTGAGGTTTTTTAATATGCTATGGATAGCAATATAGTAATTCCTAGACTGTCCGTGTGTTATCTCTTATTCTTACCACATGTCCACATGTGAGAACTAATGAATTAGGTGGTTATACAATATATTTTTTTCCAAACAACTCTTAAGCTGAAACAAATAATGATACATTCTAAAATGTCCAGTAAGTTTTTATATATTTATTTTCCCCCATTACATGTTAAAACATTTTTTTAACATTAAAAAAATTTTATTGTATTCCAAATTCTATCCTTTCCTCCTTATCCTCACCCCTCCCTAAGGCAGCAAGCAATCTGATATAGGTTATACATTGTGCAAGCATGTAAAACATTTCCTGATTAGTTGTGTTGTACAAGAAGGCTCAAATTTAAAAAAAAGAAAGGAAGGAAGGTAGAAAGAAGGAAAGAAAGAAGGAAAAGTAGAATGCCTCAGTCTGTATTCAGACAATATCAGTTTTTTTCTCTGGAGGTGGCTAGTATGCTTCATCAGCATCATTATCTTGGATCATTGTATTGCTGAGAATAGCTAAATTATTCATAGTTCTTCATCATATAATATTGCTGTTACTGTGTACAGTGTTCTCCTGGTTCTGTTCACTTCACTTCGTATCAGTACATGTTAAGTCCAGGGTTTTCTGAAATCATTTTACTTGTCATTTTGTATAGCACAATAATATCCCCTCATGATCATATGCCACAGCTTGTTTAGCCATTCCCCAATTGATGGGCATCCTTTTGATTTCCAATTCTTAGCCTACACAAAAAGAGCTGCTATAAATATTTTTGTACAGATAGATTCTTTTTCCCTTTTTTGGATGTCTTTGGGATAGACCTAGCAGTGGTATTACTGTGTCAAAGGGTATTAACAATTTTATAGCCCTTGGAAATGCCAAGTCGTTTTGAGGACCATATAATGTAACTGTCAAGCTTACCACCTTTGAGAGATATTGACTTGGAGGATTCATTCATTCAGTCAGTCAGTCAACAAACATGTATTAAGAACCTATTGAGTGCAAAACTACGTGTCACTATTGGGAGTTTCAGGAATAATAAAGTTTAAATATGGCCCTATCCCTACTCTCATGGAACTTACGGTATAATAGGTGAAACCTAAATGTGAAACTCTCATTGAATATTTATAAAAGCTCCTAATTCTCACATAATTCCTATATCTATTTTATTCTGAAACATTGGATAGCCTGCTACTGAAAGTATCTTTTAATTTGTTAAACCATATGTTAAAACAGAGTAATCCATGTTTAATTTGTTAAAAATTCTGAACCAGAATGCAAGCTGATTTTATTTATTCAAATGCATTGTATCTACATTTAGACATACATATATATGTGTATTTATATACTGCATACCATAATTACACACTAGGCTAGAACATCATAACTTCCTTAATAAGACATGAAAAATCCACTGGCTACCTAAATTCTGGCTCATTGTATAATTTCTCTGTATTTGAAACCTGATTCTAGGAATCTGATATATAATATGTTGCGTAAGAGTTAAGACTGCAAGGTATGGAAATGATGACAGTGTACTAAGAAAGCTTCTAAGACTTGGCATGTCACAAAGAAAATTTGACAAAAAGTATTACGTCATGTTCAATTTTGATTTTCATGATTTGAGAATTTTGTGACTTCCTAAAAATTAATTTATTGTAATTTAATGGAGAGATATTTCAATTCCATAGCTTAGGTATTGTGAAATTTAGATTTGAGAAGTATTTAAAGGAAAAAATGAGCTGTTTGATTTTTTTTAAAAAGGAAAACTAGATGCATATAATATTTTTTCTCAAGTGAGACATCAGTTAGTAATTGTTCTTCTATTTTCTTTCCCATCTTCACTTATTCCTGCCCCAATAGGAAACTTATCTGACTGAAATTCACAAACTAGAAACCATGAAGTATGTTCCCTTCACACACATTTCCCTTTATAGAGGTTGTTGTTTTCGGTTGATGATGATGATAATGGACACTAACATGGCTCTTTAAGGCTGACAGAGTTTTTTATTTTTACATACATAATCTTTTATTTGGTTCTCATAACAATTATTTAAGTTTGGGGCTATTTTATGGGAAACTAAGGCCGAGAGAGGTAAACTAATGTGCCCAAGGTCACACAGCCAGTAAGGGTTGGAGGTAGAATTTAAATCCAAGCCTTCTCATCGATAAAGACCAGTGCCCTTGCCACTAATCCATGATGCATCTTTGTCAGTTCTCTATTTACACCTCACTTTACAGTGAAGTAGTCAACTGAGGCCCAGAGAGAAGGAGGGCCTTGTTTAAGGTCATACAACTAATGTGTAGCAGAGTCGCAATTTGAACTTGGTGTGCTGACAGCCAATCCACTGCTTTTTTCCTTTCATCCTAAAAAGGCTTGGTTATAGCTAGACCGTCTCATCAGTGCATATTTTTCAGAACCTAGATCTATCAATCGACTCATATTGGGTATTTATTAAACTCCTGCTATATACACAGAACTGTAATTGGTCTCTTCGGGTTCTAGATTCTCTCCATATGAGATAACTGATGATTCTATTAATACATCAATACCTGTGTTTGTATGATTCAATTCAATTTAACAAAACTTTCTTAATGATTGATGAAAATAGACAAAAATATAACTTTCCCTGCCCTGAAGGAGCTTATATTTTACTCTGATGTCAGTATAATTTGACATTTCAATGAAGGGAGTAAAAAAAAAGTTAACAAAATTTGGGTTGTAATTTACTTTACTTCTGCTCTACAAATGAAAAAGTCATTTTTGGGTTCTTTATTTTTTTGGTCTTCATTTCAGGCTACCATTACAATGACCTTGTTTCTCCTCAATACCTAAGTCTGATCGCAAACCTGTCTGGCTGTACTGCCCACAGACGAATGAACAACTGTTCAGATATGTGCTTTCATCAGAAATATAGGACCCATGATGGAACTTGCAATAACCTGCAGCATCCAATGTGGGGTGCATCTCTAACTGCCTTTGAACGACTCTTGAAATCTGTATATGAAAATGGGTTTAACTTGCCACGAGGTATTAATCCAAATAGGCTTTATAATGGATACCAGCTCCCCATGCCTCGTTTGGTTTCTACCACTTTGATAGGAACTGAATCAATTACTCCTGATGAGCAATTTACCCACATGACAATGCAGTGGGGTCAGTTTCTTGACCATGACCTAGATTCTACAGTTGTTGCTCTCAGTCAGGCCCGGTTCTCTGATGGTCAGCACTGCAGTTCTGTCTGCACCAATGATCCTCCCTGCTTTTCAATCATGATTCCTCCCAATGACCCTAGAGTCAGAAATGGTGCCCGTTGTATGTTCTTTGTACGTTCCAGCCCAGTGTGTGGCAGTGGCATGACCTCTCTGCTCATGAACTCTGTCTATCCCCGAGAGCAGATTAATCAGCTCACTTCATATATAGATGCATCTAATGTTTATGGGAGCTCAGATCATGAAGCCCAGGAAATCAGAGATTTAGCCAGCCATAGAGGCCTCCTGAGACAAGGCATTGTACAGAGATCAGGGAAGCCTCTTCTTCCTTTTGCAACTGGCCCACCAACTGAATGCATGAGAGATGAGAATGAAAGTCCCATTCCTTGCTTCTTGGCTGGAGATCACCGTGCTAATGAGCAACTTGGGCTGACCAGTATGCACACCCTGTGGTTTCGAGAACATAATCGTATTGCTACTGAATTACTAAAACTCAATCCCCATTGGGATGGTGACACTATATATTATGAGACACGTAAAATTGTTGGTGCAGAGATACAACATATCACATATAACCACTGGCTACCTAAGATCTTCGGTGAGGTTGGCATGAAGATGCTTGGGGAATATAAAGGTTATGATCCCAGTGTCAACTCTGGCATCTTCAATGCCTTTGCAACGGCAGCTTTTAGGTTTGGTCACACACTCATCAATCCGTTACTGTATCGACTAGATGAGAACTTTGAGCCCATCCCACAGGGCCACGTACCTCTGCACAAGGCCTTCTTCTCACCATTCCGGATTGTCAATGAAGGTGGCATTGACCCCCTCCTAAGAGGATTGTTTGGTGTTGCCGGAAAGATGCGTGTGCCATCTCAGTTACTGAATACTGAGCTGACAGAGAGGCTGTTCTCTATGGCTCATACCGTGGCCCTGGATCTAGCAGCGATCAATATCCAGCGGGGCCGGGATCATGGTATCCCACCCTATCATGACTTTAGAGTGTACTGTAATCTCTCCTCTGCTTCCACTTTTGAAGACCTGAGAAATGAAATTAAAAATCCTGACATTCGAGAGAAACTTAGAGGGTAAGTTTCAAAGAAAATTTGGGACATTTCTTTTGGAATAGTATACCGATTTTGGGGAGTGGGGCAGTGATGGTTATAGTATATTCATAAACATGTCACAAAGCTACAACAATATCACTGCAAAAGGCATATTATAAAACATTGTGAAATATTCTGAAATATAAGCAGGCAGCGTTGCCAAGAGAAAGGGGGGGAAAAAGAACAAAGTAAAAAGTGCACAGCAGAGAACAAAAGGAAACTTACAAGGAAGCAAAGAAAAGATGGATAGCTCTCAACACATAGTATTTATTATGTAGGCTTTCTTGAAATGGAAATTTAATGCTATATATTTTGAATCCTCTCTTAATTTCTGTGCACATGGCATTTTTTTCTCTTTTCTTATTTTGTATATAAGTTTTAATATTTAAGTTTATGTTTCTTTTTCTTTTCTTATTAGGTGTTTAAGTTTTAGTATTTAAAGTAAAAATTAAAATTAAAAACATTTTAAAAAAGAAACACTAAGTCTCCCTTAGCTAAGCGGGAGACTATCACTACTCAATTCTTTTCATCATCTGGTGGCCCAAGTTATTCTGTGTCTCCAAGACTATAGTTAAGGAAAGGGTGATATGTAACAATTCAGACTTTTATTCATGATACTGTTTACTTGTAAAGTCATGTAACAACCATGGTCTCTGAAAAATCAACATTGCATCTCACCCAAGGGGCAGTATAGAGGCCCATGGTGTGTACAGGGTAGTCATGTTCCATTAGTTTTCACACAGTCAAGAGATCTAAAAGAAGGTCCCTAACACATTGAGTGGACCCCTTGTGGAGGATTGATTAGAGGCACAGAGAAAAACCATGCATAACTAGGAGCTACGTGAAGACATATACATCAAAAAGATCTTGGATCTGTCAAAGTATTATTGTATTTGTAATTCAAACATTCTATTTAAGACCATTCGTTAGCTTTTAGAAAAAGGGCATTTACTAAGGTGGTACTGGTAGAACAGTTGATTCAAGACATTCCACTGAAAATCTATGGAGTCTCCCAAGTGTATGTACAAAACCTAGGGGGAAATGAGATCAAGCTTAGAGAGTACACTAAATCACAGGTCTTTGTTGTTAGAAGTCCTTTCCTCACCTACTTGGGATGCTCAAGATGTTTCTCTTAGCTATATATAGCTTCTTTGATAGGCATTTTGTGGAGCTGTGAATCTACATCTACTCTGTCCTTGGCTCCTTATTTCACTCAACCCAGTCACAACTTTGGGGGAGGGGGTTGTGTGATGCTATAACACTGCTAGGGAGGTGGAAGTCCCAAATCCTCTGGACTGTTTGAAGTTTACAAGGTCCTTCTCCAGCCAAAGGCTGGGAGATCAAGGCTGAAGCCAAAGTCTCTACTGCTCCCTTAGGCAGTTCCTCCTCTGGAGTTTTTATGGGGATACCATATTTGCTCCAATTTCTGTAATAAATCCAGTTCTCAACTCACTTGTTATTTTATAAGTGATAACTAAGGCATGACCAAATTTCCTCAGTCTATTTGAACAAGATCCTCATGTAATGTCAAGCCCAGAAGAAATTTTCACACTTGACCTAAAACCTGTAATTGATTGAATCTAAAATCTATGTTGGAAATTGGTTGTTTTCACCTGATTAAGGTGTCAGAACATCTCATCACTTACTTTAACTGGAATTAATTAGGGAGTCTTCATTAATTTGTTCAATCAAAACTGACACTCTCTTTTTAGTTTTGATGTTTGCTGTCCTCAGCAAATCCAGTAGAATCTGGCAAAGTCCATAGCTGAAAATTCTGGCTAACTCTTTAGTGTCTTGGGAGGATCTGCATTTCCTTTTTGAATTCCTTCTCCATTGCTTAAGCAGTCACAGAAAAGTCTGGATGGCACAATTTGTAATCAGATCTAGTAATTAACATTTTTCTCTACTTCCAGTGACAACCCAGCACCTTTTTACAAAGCATAATAGGTTAATGCATGTTCTGTTGCTTGCAAAAACAGGGCCATCCCATCCCCAAAACAATAAAGAAAAGGAAATGAGTGAAAGGAAAACTAAATATTCCTTCTCAAAGGGAAAGCTTGGTCCCTTCCAGAATTCCCTGAACTCATGAGCTTATCTTCTCACAGGGATTTAAGGTCTGAAATTGTCTAGAGGTCATCCCTTTCACCCTTAAGGTGAGAAACCAAACTGCTATGGTACTTTTGTAGCAACAACACTGGTCCAAGGCAGCTGGGGTCCTGGCTGTCTTACCCAGAAAGGGGCTTATACTTTGGCTCAGTGCAGTACCAATTACCTGGTACTACAATAAAATTCCCAAGGTTTGGGGGACACTGAGGTACTTCATTCTCTCACTTTTTATTTAAAATTTCAAAGTCTATTGACACAAAGAATTTTGGCTTGTGACTTTTTTTTAATATCATGTTACAAAAATTTATACTATAATAAAATTGCAGTTGGATCCCAAGATGGCCTGGAGTACTTTGCTCTCTACCTTTTACTTAAGATTTCAAAACGTATTTACATGGACAAATTTTAGCCTGTTAAAAAAATGTTACCAAAATTCAAAGCAAAACCAATCTGGCTGTTAATAATTGACTTGAAATTTATCATAACTCCCTAAAATTGAAAATATCATAGAAAGCATTATTCAGTAAGCCAAACAGCAAGCAGAAATCATAGTTACAGAAGCTCTAGTGTATTTTTTTTCCAGAATGCGAATTGTCCCTCAGAGAATAAATATCTATTCCTTGATGTAAAGATGCTACTGTCCTTTTTGGTGGTGTTTATTTTATTTGGTGAAGTTTGGTTATCTTAATCTATCACATAGAACACAATTTCCATTGATTCTATACTTCAGAAACTATAGGCTTTGTGCAGCAAACATTCATTCCAAGAGAGTAATGTAGCCGGCTTAGCTAGAATCATTTAACTGGAAGGGAACTCGAGTCATTTGCTTCCAGGAACATAACTGAACCTTCAGAGACACAGGATGGATTATCTTTCTTGTTTCTGAAGTGTCTCAGGGATAGATACTCCATAGCCTGGTTTGTTGTACTAGTTAAGCCTTCATAGGATTCTTTATGCCTCATAAACGTCTCACTTGATACAGTTTGAATCGACTGATCATGGTATCATTGAATTAGCAAAGGATCACAGATGAGGTACCAGAGACATAGGGAGATTGAGTGACTGGCCTGGTGTCACAAAACTAATAAGTGTCTGAAGTGAAGTTTGAACTTAGATCTTCCTGATTCTAAGTCCAGCGCTCTATCCATTCTATCCGTTTATCCACTGAGGGGTAGATAGGTGGCACAGTGAATAAAGTGGCAGGCCTGGAGTCAGGAAGACTCATCTTCCTGAGTTTAGATCTGGCCTCAGACACTTGTTAGCTGTGTGACCCTGGGTAAGTCACTTAACCCATTTGCCTCACTTTCCGTGATCGTTGAGTCCAAATGTCTACGTTTCAGAGAAAAGGAAACTGAGGCCAAAGAGTAGTTCTGAAGTGTTAGGAGCTATTTGAAAATGATGTGTTTTCTGAAGTCTTTTGAATATGTCATTTCATTCTTTTTATATGGTCCCTTTCCTTCACAAAACTTTTCTTCAGAGTTCAAAGGCAGTCTTCCTCCAGTACTGTTTTGACCAAGGAATAGAATTTTCATTTGAAAATTTCAGTATCTGCATGTACTGGTGATCACTATCAACAAAACAAATGCCACTAGTTTGTTTTAACTTTAAATTTGAGATTAATTCTTTAATTTATTGCCACAGTTTAATCTTTACCTGTAATATTTTCCTAGGAAGAAAATATCTACTTGGAGCCTCATTCACCTTTTATTTAAAAAAATTAATATTTTTCAATTAACAGTCATCACCTGTTTTATCTACCCACCCAGAAAAAGAAAAAAGAAAACCCCTGCAACAAATATACCTAGTCGAGGAAAATACATTCATGCATTGGCTATGTCCAAACATGTTTGTCTCACTCTTCACCTCTGTTAGGAGGTGAGAAACATTCTAAATCATTGATTCACTGTAATCATGGTTGATCATCATGTTATCAGTTCTCCAGTATTTCAAAATCATTCATTTTTACAACGTTGTTGCTATTGTCGATTACTCTGGAACTTCTCACTTTACTCTGCATCAATTAAAGCGATGTTCAAGTAACACCTGTTCCCTCCCAACTCTTCTTATTACTGTAGGATTTTACTTGCATTCCCCCCTCCCCACAATATGTGACGTATTAACTTTTAACTTCTGTAATTTATTTTTTCCGTTAGCCTTATGAAAGAGGGCATAATATAAAGAAGTGCCATGTAGGAAAGTGTTGGGTTTTTTTTTTTTATTGAGTTTTGGCAAAAGTTAGTTTTTGTTAAGGACAAGAGCATAAATAAAACAAAAATATGAGGAAGAAAGCAAAGAAATCAGAAGTCAAAAAAGGACACTTTTCTTATTAACTTGTTAAATTTAATGGTGTATACTTTTTATTTTTTATTTATTTAAAAAATTATTTTTTTGGTTTATACTTTTTAAAAACAAACTCTGCAGAATAGTTCACAATTTGATATATAATCCCCCGTTTGCTTTTTGTGTATTGGAATATTTGTGATAATGATAAAATCCTAATGTCCTAAAGGTAAAGCTAAAGTCATTAGAACAGTCTTAAAAATAAAAATAATTGTCTTTGTCAAGGAAATTTGAAAAGTTTTTTTTATGTCATAGATTATATGGCTCACCATTGAATATAGATTTATTTCCTGCTCTCATGGTGGAAGACTTGGTTCCTGGCAGCAGACTGGGCCCAACTTTGATGTGCCTTCTAAGTACTCAGTTTAAACGTCTACGAGATGGGGACAGGTAATTTGCATGCTCTGGCCAATATTTCATTGGAATACCAACTAAAGTTTAATGAGTATTCACTAATAGTGCCAGAGTATTACTATTTATTAGTATTATGCTTTTCTGGATGTGGGGGAGGTAGGAAGGAGGATGATTTAGGTCTTCTATATTGAGACTAACTAGGAAGAAAAAGTATTCTTTATTCTTAGTAGTTTTTTTAAACAATAACTTTAAATTGTTTGAGTCTCCTTTCTCAGCAATATACATCTTAGAAACAATGCCAAATTAACTATATTATATGTTTGCTCTGTTTAAATAATAATTTTGCTAAATAAAGTCTTCTAGGCATACTTTACAAGGAATGTACCATTATAAAAGTTTATAGTTTCTTTGATGAATTATACAGATGTTTTTAAAGTTTTAGATTTAATCTATATTATAGTATAAGATGCTCAATGCATGAACTCATACTGAGACTTCCATAATTTCCTATCATTTAAATAATTCAGTTATTAGTTTACTCCCCAAGGATGTAGCCTTTTTTGTTTGTTTATGACCTTCTTAAAGGCTAGCTTGTTGGAGAATTAATTTCTGACCCTTTTTAAAAAAAAGAACAGCTGTTTTGTGTTCTGTGGATGCTATTTCATAGAATATTAGAATTTGGAAGGGACCTGAAAACTATGTATTCCATTTGCCTCATTTCCACTTAACAAAATTGAGCCCCTGGAGAGGATGGGTGATTTTTCCAAGACCCTTCAACTATCTGTAATTGTCTCACATTATAAGTGAGCCTGACAAAAATCAGAATCCTCTCATGGAGTTAAATTTTGAGGCTTGGAGGAATTGTGTCAGTCTGTTACCTCTAGTTATTTTGGGGTTTACTTTTACTTGATACTGTTTTTCTCTCTTCCTCCCCCCTTCCTCCACTCAAACTACAGGTTATGGTATGAAAACCCTGGAGTATTTAGCCCTGCTCAGTTGACACAAATCAAGCAGACATCCCTTGCCCGAATTCTGTGTGACAATTCTGACAACATCACTCATGTGCAGAGAGATGTCTTTAGAGTGGCTGAATTCCCACATGGATATGGTAGCTGTGATGAAATCCCCAAAGTGGACCTAAGAATGTGGCAGGATTGTTGTGAAGGTCTGTATATAAAGGAGGGAAGCAGATTGGCTACTAACAATCGATGACTGGGGCTGTGGGAGGTGAAGCATGAACTAGAAAAAAATAACATTGGATTTGCAAACAAAATAACTAGGTTTGAATCTGGACAGGTCAGGTAAGCTCTTTGAGTCTCAGTTTCTCCATTTGTAAAATGGGGATAATTCTTACCTTATATACTTCATAGAGATGCTCTGAAGAAAGTACTCAATGTATTATTTTCAAAAAATGATTGTTTTCTGCACTCAGTTTTGGAGAACTATCTTGTATATAAGATTGCTTTGAGAAGCATGTAGTCCTTTACTTATAAATGCAGTTGTAATTGATAAATGTAGTTGTAAATTGATGTAGTTAGTATTACCTTGAAAACAATTTAGATCAAGAGTCTTGTTGGACTGGACTGCCACAGTCCAGACTGATCTTAAAGATAGCTCTTTGCTACCTGCCTTGAAAGCTTTCCGTGGGAAGTGGTCTGTTTTAATTGTCTCATCGATTTTATTTCTGTTCCTACTTTACCTTTGCATATTTCTTTGCATTTCTGTTTTCTTGTTTGCTCTTTACTTCAATATTTCAAAAGATGTGTAAATTCAGCAGTTGTGGTACTGCTTGACCTGGACAGGGATCCTGGTTGGCAAACTCCCAATCCAGTCTTCTTCTTTTCAGTGGACCACATGTTTCTTTGTTTGACTGAGCTTGTGATTTCACTGGAATCTAGAGAGCTCCTAGTGGAGAAGTCCTCTGTCAATGAAGATCATCCTTTCTGGTGCTGAGGCACTGGGTGATTGAACCCAGATGTGCTCCCTCTGAGGCTAGCTCTTTACGTGATTCTCTGTCTCTTGGTCTCTCTGTTTCTCTCTTTTTCTGTGTCTGTGTCTTTCTGTCTCTCTGTCTCATCTGTCTCTCTAGATATACACAGACAGTTATTGCTTTATGTAAGTTTGTATTATGCAAATTCGACTATGTAGAGAATTTCAAAAGAAATGCATTTCAAAAAACAACACATTAACTTTACTGAGCTCTCTCGTCTTACTTCTGTTCCTCAGTTAGGTGCTCCACAGCCTTCTACTGCTTCACCAAAAACAAACAAACAAAAAACCCTAAAAAAAAAACCCTTCTTCAAGTGAAAGCAGAAGAACTACTGCAGGAATCGGGGGCTTGGCTTGATACCTGGGCACTGAGAGGGGCTACCTTTGCTGTATTCTGCCCACCTACCTTTATGTCTGGCCCCAGCCTATGTTCCTCCTCCTGCTCTGGCTTCTCTGTCCTTGGCCCCCAAATGTCCTTGAGACCCCCTTCCTCCCTCAGTAGACTTTGATGGATTATATGATAGACCATGACTGACATTTACAATTGACTCTTGCATCCTGTACCTTTTCCAACTACTTTTCAACTGGATGCTCTTTCATAAAAATTTTAAATAATTTTTTTGGTTAATACTTCATTTGTGCCTTTTGTTTTTCTGTCACAGGTATTTTTTTGATATCTTTACCTACTACCATCTCCAATCCATTCAGCTTCCCTTGTAGAAAATAAAAAATGTTAAATGGAACAAGCTACTTCAGACAACATATGCAATATTCATACCCTTACTTCTTCAAGGAAAAGGGAGATATATTTCCATTTTTTAAATTTCCATTTTTTTTTTGTTATTTTGCATTGTCAAACCTCATCAAACTTGAACATTTCCATATGCAGAACAGAAAAAGAGAGTTATATTCATCCCTTCTCCAGGGCTGAGATTGATCATCAAAATCACCTAATATTCAGCTTTGGTTTAGTGTTCATTTCATTGGCATTATCACAGTACAAGTGTTGGAATAATCCCATCAAGAATCATTTGTTCTCAGTGGAGACCTGATTTTACTTAAAGTTAGTAGTTTATATTCTGCTTCTTCTAGCTGTTGAAAAGTTATATCTGTTTTTTATGTTGCCTTTGCATTTTTTATACTCAAAATACTTTTCCACCAGAATGTCAAGAGGGCAAGCTCTTATATTTGAAGAAAGTTGTTGTCTTTGAGAATCTTTGGGAAAAGCCAGGGCTTTTTCCCTTGTCCAGACACAAAAGGCCTTTTCATTTTTTGATAACTAAACCAGATTGCCTTTAGCTGCCCAAGAAGCAGCACAGCCAGATTTTCTGTTCTCTTGGTCAGAAAATCTGAGTTTCCTTTGAAAGACTTAATCTTTGGAGGCCAATCTTCACATTCCATTATCTTCTAAGGAGCTTGTCAGCTAATTTGTTTAAGAAACTTAGCCATCTCTAAGATAGTTGGGTCATATTTCTTATTCTCAGAACATGAGGCAACTGTCTAGGGTCACATTTTACAGCAAACTCAATTTGACATTTATTGAGCACCCCCTCTGTATGAAGCTGAAAGGACAATGAATAGGCTTTGGCTGTTGTAATTTTAGGCTAAAAAAACATAACCACAGAGCAGTTTGAGGAATTTAGGCTTGGTGAGTGAATTTTGCTCACTAAAATCATGTGCTTTTTCCTTTCATTAAAAATTGTTTTAAGGTATAATTCACAAGGGCAATGCCTCTTCGTAGCATCTGTGTGTTTTTGGTTCATCTTCAAAATTGCTTTGAATATACTCCAAGTTTCATGGAGTAGGATTGTAAATTTAGAGCTGGTAGAGACCTTAGAAATACCCGGTTCCAGTTCTTTCATTTTATAGATGATGAAACTAATGCTCAGAGGGGTTAGATGACTTGCCTAAGACTGTATGGGAGAGCCAGAATTTGAACCCGCCATTCTCTAGTGTGTTATTTTTTTTTCCATTTTTGCATTCTGCTGTCCAGAAAACATGCCGGACATTCAGAGGAACATTCAGATTCCTCTCTTCAGTGTCTCCTGTAGCTGATAGTCTAAAGTTCAGTACTGGGGATTTTGAGTAGTCTTTTCAGGTGTTGTCTCCTGGCTCCCCTAACTCGTATAATGTTTGGCTGTGGCTAGTTGAACCACCAAGTCTCAAAGGCTGCCTGGGCTAGAGTGGTTCTAAATGATTGTGGTGTATAATAATGTAAAAAAGTACATTTTATCGAAACATATTTTGTCTTTAAAATCTTTTACAAGTATTTATAACTTTTAGACTTGTAGGGTGAGGCATTTTGGTTCAGTAGAGGGAGCCAGGCTCAGAGTTAGAAAGATTTGGGTTTTTTAAGGGTGGGGAACCTGTGGCCTCAGGGCCACATGTGGCCCTTTAGGTCCTCAAGTGTGGCCCTTTGACTGAATCTAAACTTCACAGAACAAATCTGTTGTGTCCAAGGGCTGTTATGAAGTTTGGATTCAATCAAAAGGCCACATTTGAGGACCTAGAGGGCCACAAATGGCCTCCAGGCCGCAGGTTCCCCACCCCTGATTTAGGTCTTGCCTTTTTAAGACTAACATTTGCTAATCTACATTGGTAGAGGTAATTTTTTTCACTAATTTAATTATTTAATCCAGTGAAATAATAGGTTTTATTAAACAACAACAACAACAACAACCCAACAAATAGGATCATAGGATTCAGAGCTGGAAGAGACTCTACAAATCATTTTTTTCCCTACTCTTTTGCTTTATAAATGAAGAAACAGATTTGCAAAGAAGGAGAGAGACTTACCCAGTAAGTGTGAATAATAAATAGTAGAGCTAGTATTTGAACACAGGTCCTCAGACTTCAAATATCATGATTAAATCTATTGCTTATAAATGTTCCTTAGGGTACTCCCTATTTGACATACAAGAAAATCTTTTTTAAGGATTTCTTTGAATATCACTTAGCTGTAGTGTCATGAATGCATTATAAATAAACCCTATAAAGTAGCAAAGTTAGTACAGTTTTGCCTCTTGCTTTGTCTTTTAAATGGTCACCTACATGCGTGACATTGAGATTGTTCTTCCAATGAAGCAAAATTGTTTTACCTAGTATATGTTTGTTTGTTTGGTTATTGTTGTTGTATTTTCTTTTTTCCGTGAAACCAGTGAACTACTTTAGGTGGCAGTAGATGCTGAGTTACTAAGAACTTCTGGAGTGGTATCAGCAGTAGCAATCATAATCCTCAAGATTATTAGGTTATATTTGAAAAATGTGTTTCATTTCTATTGAAATATAAAACTAGAGATGTCAGTAACTAATCCTTCTTTTGTCTGTAACTTTAGATTGTAGGACTAGAGGGCAGTTTAATGTATTTCATATCACTTCAGAGGAAAACGCTCTCTTGAATTCAGCTATCAGGAAGACAAGCCTACAAAGAGAACCAAAGCACCAAAGATACTAAGGTATACTTGTAGATACAGAAGATTTTGTTCAGCAGAAGTTTTGCATGCATGGCCATGTGTTCTAATGGTCCTAGCAGTAGGGTATCATCTATCACTGTATTTTATCTTACTGATCACGAAAGGAATGGTGGTCTTGATGGACGTAGGAGATACGAGGGCTTACAGGTCTATGTTTTGTTTCCTTTTCTGTTGACGGGTTAGATGGGGAGAGATGTCTAAACAGGTCAGGTTAGGCTAGGGAAATTAGACTGGAGATGCAAGTTTGTAGCCTTCCAATTTAGCCTCGACAGTTTGATTTTCATCTTTTATATTTTCAGGGGCAGATGATCTAATTCCAAGGGACTTAGCTATAGGCAAAGTTTGTTTTTCTCACTTTCTCCCCCAATTTATTTTATTTTATTTGTATACTTATTTACTTTGGGGGCAATGTATTCTTGTGTTTTCTCAAAATGACACAGTTATTAACAATGAACAAGTATTAACATTGAATTTTTAAAAAAATTTTTTTTGTCCTTGCCGCAGTGCTGTAAAGCACAGTAAGCCTTTCAGTAACTTCACTTCTTCTTCTGATGAACATATGAATGTGCCAGCAACAAATGACTTCAAAGAGTTTGTTCTGGAAATGCAAAAGACCATCACGGGCCTCAGAAAACAGGTAACCAGAAAAAGCTAGTGATAAGTGCCTTGTTAAAGTTCTACAGGTGTCATTTTCATTGCGTAGCTCCTTCTAAAATAATCCATTTTTAAGTGCAAATTTGTACTATCCACCCAACCCTCCCAAAGTAGTGCTGGAGTTATTGAAACCCAGTGGCACAGAGCATGTGATGTAAATGTTCTTTTTGTTTGCTTTGCTGTTCTTTTTTACTTTTACTCACAACCATGCCAGGTTGTTCTGGGTTCTCATTGTTTTTACAACCTATTCAGGTGCAGACAGGTGAGTACTTAGATGGGAGCCCACCAAGGAACACCTGAGTGCTGCAAACGAGGGGTTTGGTGCTGTGTTGCCAAGCACAGCTTATTATCAAAGCTGTATGAGAGCTAAGGGCCACGTACAAAGTCATTCTCCTTGTCTGATGTGGCTTTTGGATTACTTCTGTGGTATGGAGGTTTCCTCATGTATGGAATGAGGATGATAATACATGCAATGTGTCCATTAGGGGATTCTTGGGTGTTGGAACAAGAAAGTGAATGTAAGACGTTTTGTGAGTTGTTCTACAAGTTGGATAAATTGGCATTACTTTTCCCAGGATTTGAGCATTTTAAAGCTAATTTATGATGGAAAGTTTTGACATGCAATAGTCACTCACTTGAGTAATTACTAAACTATTGCAGTAGTAGCAGTTTGGTGGGTACTAGATACATAGTTGCACATATATGTCTAGGTGTAAGTGGTATGTGTAGATATATTCACAGTTCATGTCCCCATATCAGCTCTTCTCATTTTAGTCCCTTCTTATTTCAGTATTGATAAATTATTTTTCTTCCTGAACAGTCTGAAGAAAAATGCATGTGGGGTGCCTTTTGTGAGGGCTGAATTTTACTACATTACCTCCTGAAAGATAGAAGGAATGAGAGAACCCACAGATGGGCAGGTTTTGAGAAATATGGAGAATACTAAGCTCCTATACTCCAACAGGGATTCTTAACCTTTGTTGGGGTCATGGACCCCTTTGGCATTCTGGTGAAACCCTTGTACCCTTTCTCTGAACATTGTATTTAAATGCATAAAATAAACTACATAGGATTAGAAAGGAAACTAATTATATTGAAATGTAGTTATCAAAATGTTAAATAAACAAATTAAGAGCCTCTGATCTAAACATTTGTAACCATTTTCTTCTGAATACCATTGGATATATTAAATATAAGGTTGCTATTATGAAACAGATACAAGATATATGACAATAAAATAATTTTGGGGAAGGCAAAACCACTTTCATTCCCTAACGATAACTAATGTCCACTAAAACAGAACGTTTAAAAAAACCTAACAAAGGTGTATTTACTTTCTACCCCCCTTCCCCCCAGAAAAAAATCCCTTATAATAAATATGCATTAGTTAAATGACACAAATCCCTGCTTTGGCCGTGGGTTTTTTTTTCCCAAGTATGTCTCAATCTGAAAAAGTTTAGTCATTGTGTTGATCAGAATTTTTAAGTCTTCTAGAGTTCTCTGTCTTTATGGTGTTGTTGTTACTGTTTAAGTGGTTCTCCTGGTTCTGACTTTGCTCTACATCAGTTCACACTAGTCTTCCTAGATTTGTTTGAAACTTTCATTTGATCATTTCTTGCAACACAAATATGTACATCAGCCATTCCCCAGTTAATAGGCATCTTCTTAGTTTCCAGTCCTTTGCCATCATAGATATTGCTATTAGAATAGTCGGTGCATGTAAGATAAAGGACTTGTGTAGACAGCATAGGATTGGTGACAGTGATCATTTCGTTTGGGACCCAAAGGATGATATTTTTTTAAGCCACAGCATCTCCTGACTTTTCTGTCTTGTTCTTTTGATGCACCAGACCAACTCTACACAATTCTCTACTCTTAAATCCCTTGCCCTGTGTACTATTACAAAAGAGCTCAAGCCTCTATTACTCCCACCAAAGCAGGTGCTTTTCTCTAGTTCGTTTGGTAGCTTGCATGTTTTCATCCATAACTTCCACCCAGCTATGTCACTGCACATTCCCACGACTTCAGTCTTCACCCAAATGCTGGAATGAACTTCTTTTAATGTTACACACTGCTGAGTTAGAGGAAGTCATGAAACCATGATAATTGGGTTCACTACTGTTTCATGTTATCTAACTTCAACTGGGCCCTCACTGCAACAAGGAAATACTTCTACTCTTCCCTAATTACTTCTCAGGACCACACACCATAGCAACGGCTCCAAACCGTCCTATCTTTCCTCAGGCCTTGCCCATGGCACCCTTCTCTCCTTACCCTTTTAGCTGAGAACCTTACTTTTTAACTCATTTAAAAAAATTAACCCATTTGATCAGTTTCCTCATCTTCTCACTTCATCTCTTATCACTCAGACATTTTTCTCTTCTATTTCCTCCTTAAGTCAAATCTCTTGTAATGAGTTGATCTTTCTCTTTGTCAAGGCCAGCCTCTGTACATGCTTCATTGATTACATACCCTGCCTTCTTCTCCAGCAAATTTCACTTTTATTATCCCCATTCTCTCTCTAATCATTCCCTCCCCAGCTTCCCAGAAACACATCCATTTCTCCTCAATTTCCCTTCCTTTATCACCTCGGCTGTACTCACTGCTACCACTTCCTTTCTTTCCACTCTCTTCTAAGCCCTGGCTTTTGACATAATCAGTAAAGTGATATTGTTCTCTCCAAAGTTATCAGTGATCTCTTAATTGTCAAATCTAGTAGCCTTTTCTCGGTCTTCGTCCTTAATGACCTCTCTGCAACAGTAGACACTGTTGGTGACCCTCTTCTGAGATTTCATGACACTCCTCTGTGTTGATTCTCTTCCTACCTGTCCAACTGCTCTTTTTTAATCTCCTTTGCTAGCTCTCCATGTCCAGCCCATTAGCCATGGAGTAACCTCTTAAGACTCTGTCCTGTGCCCTCTTCTATTTTCCCACTATAATATCTCATGTAGTTATCACATCAGGTCACATAGGTTCAATTATCATCTCCCTAAAGAGAATTCTCAGATGTATATTTCTAGTCTTAGTCTTTCTGTCTCTGTCTCTCTCTCTGTCTCTCTGTCTCTCTGTCTCTGTCTCTCTTTCTCTCTCTCCCCACTCCCCAATTACTGAGTCAATAACTACCTATGGGACATTCTGAATTGGAATGTCCCATAGGTGTCTCAAGTTCAACATGTCTAAAACAGAACTCATTGCCCCCCCCAAAAAAACCACCCTTCCCTTCTTCTGAACTTTTTTGTTACTCTCTCTATATTAGGCAACAAATTTAGACTGTTTATGTAATTTCATCATTTGGGAAGTTCCTCTAGGTCTTTGCCTCTTGGAAGTAAGGGTCTTAGTTGGTAAATTTGGTTAATACCTAAACTTGTAGAAAAATAATAAGGCAATTTAATTAGAGAAAGATTTTGAATTATTAAGGGAGCCGTGGTTCTTTTGATTTGGTAAGGAACTGGTGCGTTTATTAAATCTCCACGAGGCCCATGCTAACAGTGGTGCCCAGTTTAATTCTTCTGCCTCAGTGTACACTATCTGAACTGCTTTGTACCTGGGTGATAAGAGATGCTTGGGGGTGCTGGGGAAGGAAGTGATCAGTCTTTTTTGCTCATTTACTTTCTCTCTATCTGTTTCTTTTTTCTGCCTTATTCCATTCATCATCTCAAAATGTTCGTGTACAACTGTAGTACTTAGAGAGTAGTCTTTATTTTAAGGAGCTCTCTTTCCAGGCTCTGGAGTGTCTTGGATTTATAGTAGCAAAGTGTCACAAGGAAAGACTGAACTCAAATCAGATATATGCCATTCATATTCCCCCCCCTTTTTTTCCCAAACAAGAAATTAAGAGGAATGTTCTATATAGTATCATCTTTATAAGTATACAGATGTAGTTGAAGATGTTCGTAAGCAGGATAGTCTCTAGAGTGCCCTCACTCAGCTGTTTGAAAATATTTACGGGGAAAGTTTTCATTTATCACTATATAGTTAAGTACACTCCACAGTCCTTTTAGAATATTTTTTGATTTTTAGCTTTCCATCTTTTCTTCAAGTACCTGGTTGCCAGAGTGCATTTATTTCTGATGTTAAGTAAGGAAATAACCTGGTAATGAAGCCATGAATTTCTGTTTTCTAACCTCTTGACTTGCACTTTCCTGAGAATTCTTTGTGATGAGATCAGCAAGGTCAATTTTCATGAATTGGGATGAGGAGGATGGAATTACAAGTGTGGTGAGAGGTGAGATTTAGTGCCTGGGGAAAACTATTCAGAAGTGACTAATTAAACTTAAATCTTTCTACAGATAAAGAAACTTGAATCACGCCTCAGTAAAACTGAATGCACTGATGAAAAGGGGAAATCATACTCAAACAATGAAAAATGGAAAAGAGATTCATGTACTGTATGTGAATGCAAAGTGAGTATGTGAGAAATCCTTTTACTCAGTTTTAGTCATCTCTTGGCACTTCTGATGTACTCTACTTTCCCCATCCATAGTAGGTCATAGCTAGCAAAAATCCCAGGTCTCTCTGCCTGGGCATAGAGCAGTTGTTGTAGCAGTGAGGGAAAGAAGCCAAGGGAAGAGGCCAGCCAAGTCAGGGAAACCCTCTGGATTCTTTGATGATGGGGAGGGGTGGATATGATAGAAACCTTTAAGGAAACAGTATTTTGTGCAACTGGGGAGTGTTGAGGCATTTGACTTCTGTTTTTTTATCTTTTATTTTACATTTAAAGAAATATCCATATAGGGTGGGTGGGCCTTAACTCTTTGTGATTAACCAGTTTCAAGTTGGAAATTAATGGAAACTATCTAACTTTACAGAATCTGTCATTAGGAAGGAATCTGAGCGTGTATCTAGTCCAACTCTTAGTTGACCTAAAATCTCCTCAACAGTACTCCCATGAAGTTATCATCCAACCTTCCCTTAAAAACTACTAGTAATAGAGAACCAGTACTAATAACTAAGGCTGGCCAATTTACTTGTGAATAGCTCTGTTGGGAAGTTTTTCTTTATATCAATATCTGCCTCTATATCTTCTTCCCATTTCCCCTACTTTTCCACATGATAATAAAATATTTGAAGATAAGTTTACAGTTCAGAGAAACTTAGAATTGAAAGGGGATCTTGGAAGTCACCTAATCCACAGGTGTCAAATATGTGGCCCACAAAGATCCCAGGTGTGGCCCTAACAAAATTAAACTTTAATTGGGAATACTTAACAAGGGCACAATGGATAGAGTGCCAAGCCTGGATTCAGGAGGACTTGATTTCAAATCCGGCCTTAGAGACTTACTAGCTATGTGACTCTGGAGAAGTAACTTAACCCTGTTTGCCTCAGTTTCCTCATCTGTAAAATGAGATAGAGAAGGAACTGGCAAACCACTCCATTATGTTTGCCATGAAATCCCCAAATGGGGTCATGGAGACTCAGACGTGATTGAAACAACTCAACAATCAACAAAATTGAACAATATAAAGAAAAATACAATAAAACATAGATAGCATTATATTTGAAAACTATATCAATATGCCATCTACATAGATCTTCATGTACAGATTAGTGGCCATTTCTATCTTAATTTGACACTACTGTTCTAATCCAACCTAAACCTGAGTAGCAAGACCTTCTTTAAGTGAAAAATCACAAAAGATATATAATTTGCTTAAGTATATGAAGAAGTACAAAAGATGAACTGGATAAATACCAAAAGTATCTGCATGCACAGTGAGGTACAGGGAGGGGGGTATTTTTAGAGTCAGTGTTATAGATAAAAAGTAATGAAATCTTTCTCCCACAGGATGGCCAGATCACTTGTTTTGTAGAATCTTGTCAGCCGACAGATTGTCAAGCCCCAGTGAAGATCAAAGGAGAATGTTGTCCAGTCTGCTTAAAAAACACTGTTAGCAAGCAAAAGAAGCCATAGCTGCCTGTATACATTTTGGGGGTGGGTGGGTGGGAATGGGATTCTCTGCTAAGCCACCTTGAGATCAGGTGGCCAGCACAGGTAACTGCAGGCTTTAACAATACATCCAGAATGGAGACATTTCACAACATCAAACTGATGCTGTTAAAGAATTGAATGCTGTGTGCATTCTTTAACTAGTTTCCCAGGTGACAGGCAACCCCCCACCCCCTCCCCGATATAAATGTATGGAAAGGGAAGTAGGTGAATGGTTATGTAACCTCTCTTAGGCTTCTCAGGTTTTTCTTTTGTATTAAATTAAAAATTGGTGCTACTATGAAATTGCACAGTCAGGCAAACGAGGTCCCCCTAATGATTTACTGTGATGTTGTTTTAATTTAAACTCAGTCCAGTGGTACCTCTGAGCTTGTGGCCAGCTGAGTTCTCAGTCTTAATGCAGAACAGCCCAGAGAAAGCAAGAGTTTATGAGGACCAGATAGGGGTGAATAACAAAGAAGGATGTGGAAAGAAGCCCAATGAAATGGGTATGAAGTTTCAGACAACATTTACACAAGAAATACATGCTTGGCAAGTTGAGAAGCATTGTTTATGAGTGTATTAACAGTGGAACATGGCCTTTTTAAAAATTCTTTTCCCCCCCAAATGAACCCCAAAGAGACTGGTGTTCCCGCAGTTTTTGTTAGCCATGTAAGTGATATTTCATAGGCCATTGGCATTTAATCATAAATCAAACACTACTTTTCCTCGAAACGTGTGTAAATTCCTACCACTTTTCCTTTTTTGTCTCTTCCTAAGCATGATTGTAATGAATATATGAACTCCTATTTAGAAATCAGCTGGTTTGAATTTCTGACTGGCAAAACCACAAAATGTTTTTTTTTAAGACAATGTGAAAATCGTATTTCATACCATTCAGTGAGATACCTATTAATTATTGAGTGTACTGCCAAAAAGTTCCAGTAGACCGCCACTGCTGTTAGTTGTAGTGCCACTTATTGGGGGTAAAAGGGCAGTAATAGCCCTGACATTTTGTTTCTAGCTTTTCTGATTAGATATTTGAATGTTGAGAATTTATTAGCTTCCAGGTATGCTGTGCATGTGTGGTCAATCCCTATACCTCATTTGTGTGGGTTGTTTTTTTTTTAAACTTTTTTTACATTTTATAGACCACTGTCCACAGATAAGTATAAGAGGGGCAGTTAAACTGGCTCCATTATGCAAGAGTCCTTCCTCTTTTAGTATTGCTGTTCTGAATCTTTTGCCATCATACATTTCAATGAAAGGCAACTCTTGTACCTCACATGAGCTTTTTTTTGTTTGTTTTAAACTTGGGCTTTATTTGTGTCACTCATCCCTCTCTTCCTGCCCTGCCCCAGTTCAACCCCAGTGTTCTCTGAACATGAATTAATGGAAATAGGTGTGAAAACTGCACAGTTGTTTTCTGTGAAAGCACATAAGATCATCATTTTGCAGGGTAGGCCAAAGTAAATGGTATGATTCTTCCCAGGATTATGAGAGAAGGCTTTCTCATGCATGGTACATTGACTGTGACTAAGTCTTGGGATGATATGCCTTTTATAAATACATGACATAATCTTCATCATTCAAATGAGAGTCAGGGTACAGCCTTGGCACATAGTGTCCTTTGCTAGCAGAACATGGCTACTATGCATGCTGTGCTGTGGCACATTTGTGATGGGCTGCATTTGATAGTCTAGTTTTAAGAGGCTTCAAATTGATTTCATGCACCGAGTTTGGGTTGACTTCATCTTCCATTTGAATACAATTAAATGGCTTCATCAAGTCTTTCTGAATTTCATGGGACATAAGACTTGTTTCAAATTCTTTGGTGAAGGTATTTGAAATGGGAAAGATATCATTAAACAGTAGAGGAGGTTCTGTCAACCAGGAAAAGTTAAATGTTTTTCTTAACTTATCGTCAGAATTTTAGGGTAGTTTTAAAATGCTCAGGTATAGAAACTATAGCAATGGTTTTTCCAATCTTGTGGAAGTATTGCCATGTCTTAATAGCTTCTTGTTAGGGAGGTATTTTGTGGTGTGTGACTTAGACAATATAAAAGGGGGTTAAAAAAAACCAAAAACATGCTGGAGTGCCTGACTGAGGCATCTGTCAAAATGAGTACGTTGTCAATGAACTGAAAATTAATGGAAGAGCCGAGCTGTGCCTTGCAATAACATTCTGTAATTTCCATCGAAATGTCTGCTGGATCACCAGTTTAAATTTTTTTAAGGACAGTGGTTAGTGCCTGGATGAACTTTTCTCAGTAGCCACTGTCAGAATATTGCTTTAATATGTTGCAAACTGTACATATTTATTTACGTTTCTGTTATCAAGAGCAGAATGCCCTTGTTATGTTCAATGTAACCAATACATTTACCAAAGAAATGTTTGCACTGTGTAATGATGCTTCCCAGTTTCAAATAAATGGGCCACATTTTCAAGTGGAGACTTGATTTCTCTTTCATTCAGTCCTATAATAGAAAGTCATATTTTGTTCTCCATGTTCATAACAGTTGGTCTGGTGGTGAGATATGGCGATTTGCAGAGATGTTATATCTACTGATATTTACTATGTTTAAAATGAAAACATCTTAGTAGTATTATGACAACAGTTTTCACCTCAAGAACATCCCTGAAAGGGTCTTGGAGGCACCCTGGGGTCCCTTGACCACACATTGAGAACTAATAGGGTGCATTGATGAAAGATTTGATTTCCAAAGTCTTCCCAGTTCTACTATTTGGGGATGCTAATAGCAAAATGTTTCACTGAAAAGATAAAATGTATACGCTTGCTGACTGCAGAATGACCTGAAGAGACAGGTGAGATATTTAATGGTGTAGGGTGTGTCTGCCCCATTCCCCTCCCTACCACACAAACCAAACACACAAATTTCCCCCACCTGCTGCCTGTTCTTAGGGATTCCTTTAACTCTAGACCAAATTTTCTCTCATTGTAGAATGAAATGTAAATAACTGATTTAGGATTCTTCTTTGTAAGACTTGGGGAAAGACTTTAAAGGTTTTTGTGATGGGAGCAAGGGGAACAGTGACATACTTCAATCAGATTTCAGGGAGAGGAGACAAGCAACAGTGAGGACAAACTTTTCTATGGCACAGTTTTGCTTAACAGGGACCTGTGTTGTTACTAGTAAGTATGTAATACAGACCACTCTGGCCCCTATCACTTGAGGGTATATTACAGTTCACTCCTCCCTCAGAGTTCTTCAGTACCCTTAAGAAGATTGAGAGGGTGGTGTCTAGGCTCTCTGCAAATGGCCTATCCCTTAGGCCTGATGTACTCCTAAGTATAGGAGGAACCTCTGTACCCAGTTCTTTTTTAACCATTTAACCGATTAGCTTTTACAGTGGTATTTTTCCTTTAAAAAGTAAATCACATACTTATTCCCCTCAAATGTGAGAGGCATAATTCACCCCTTCCCTCCAGTTCTCTGCAAAATGTCCTTTGCACCACCTTATTCTCTGGGGAGGGGAAGCAGTTCAGGTTCTTAGCTTAGCTCAGTTCCTGTTGAACATAATCCTAGTTCCAAGTCCAAAGCCCACCATGGATTTCAGTCTCAGACATCTCGGTTTCTCTGGGCAAAGCTTCCCCTGTGGGGCAGGCAGGCTGGCTGCACCATCTCATCTGGAATCCTAGCTCCAAAGTCACCATGTCTCAAACTTCCAGGTCCAGTGGAGATCATTATTGGCACTTAAAAATGAGGAAAAAACCAACACAGGACAGAAACAAATACTCCCAAGCCCATTTCTTGGAGCTGGAATAAAAGAGGGTGCAGAGAAAGGAAGTCCTTCCCTTCTCTCCAGTTCAGTTCATAGGGCTCATGCTGTGGGTGAATTGTGATCATCAACCCGAAAGCCAGAAAGGAAGCGGCAGAAAGAGAGCCCAAAAGAGAACTATAGTTTTACTGTCACCAGTTTTAAAGATGCAGGCAGTCAAAGGAGGCTATACCCACTCACATGGCAGGAGATTCAGAGGCAATCTGGCCATGCTCCAAAGGCCCCTCAGGATGTCTGTATATTAGGTGAACTGAGCACATCCAGAAAAGCCCTGTTTAAAAGTAATATGCACATCTGTGCTGGCTTCTTTTTTGAAATTGCTATTGATGCCATTAATTTTTTACCCTTTAGTCATTTCCTGATATTCTCCTCCCTTCCACTATAACTGTCCATCATAATAAAAATATTGAAACAAAACCAACCAACAAAGTTATCAAGTCTGACAGGATGTGCACCATTCTATTCCTGTAGTCCCTTACCTCTTCCAAAATAAGTATACTTTGTCATCTCTTCTCTGGGGTTAAGGCTGGTTATTACTATCAGTCTTAGTTCAGCTGCCTCCTGCTCTCACTTTTGTTTACATTATTATAGTCATTGTCCATATTGTTGTTTTGATTGTACTTATGTTTACTTCATTTTGCATCAGTTCTCATAGGTCTTCCTATACTTCCCTAAATTGCTTATTTGTAATAACACTCCATTACATTCATATACCATAACTTGTTCAACTTTTTATTTCCCAGTTAATGGCACTGACATTGTTTCCATTTTTTTTATTACCCTGAAAAGCAGAAATATTAATATTTAGGAATTTGTGGGAGTTTTCTTTCTGTTTTTTTTAATCTCTTTGGAGAATATGCCCACGAATTAATTAATAAATCAAAGGACATAAACAGTTAGAATTTTTTCTCCTATAATTCCAAATTGTTTTCTAGAATAGTTGAATGGAGGTTCACAGCCCCACCAACAATTTATTTATTAGTGTACCTGTCTCCTCACCATTCCTCTAATATAGACTAGTTCCATTTTTTATAATTTTTGCCATTTTCCTGGCTGGGAGGTGAAACGTCAGAATTGTTTTAATTTAAATGACAAAATTCCTTTCCTATAACACAGTTTTAGGGCAGGACCAGCCTTATGACTTATCATTAATAGCCATACCTTTTAAATCCACTGTCTCTGTATGTCGCAACATATAGATAACCTAAAGAACAATGTGTTTTTAATGCACTACAAGACTTGATTTCAAGATAGAATAGTCTCTGCTTTATAAATGAGACCCACTTTAAATCAGATCTTGAAAATTACTTTTACAGATTAGTCCTGAGTAAAATTAGTGACAGATTTGTCTAATTAACTCTCACAGAACAATAAGGAATTCAATATTATAGTTGAAATAAGAATGATCATGTATATATATGTATACACACATCTATATGTGTATATTGACATGTGTGTATATATATATATATATATACATTGATATCTATATCTGTCTATTTACAATGCCATATTAACATTCTGTTGTTGCTATCTATATAGCCATGAATTATGGAATGCCATGATCTGAAAACCCAAATGGCAGATTCCCCAAAGAATGAAGGAAAAATATGTGATGAATGTATGAAGGCCATAGCATAATAGCAACAATGATACGGAAGAAAAATTGGTCTCAAAGACATAATCAAGAGTGTTATTGGAAAGAAGTGGGTCAATAATGTGACAAGCCCAAATCATAACATATGCATTGCCTGAATGTTGCAAAGTTACCTGAAATGTGAACATTAAAGGAAGTTTTATAGCACATTAGATGTATTATCTATGAATTAATGGAAGATTAAATGGAAATACAGGGACAAATATCACCAAGGTTAGAAAGTGTAGGATAGTTGTAACCAGTAAATGGTTACTAGTGAAAGGCATACCCATAATTCTCTGATCCCAAGTCTGTTGAAGTATAAAAAGTAGCTAAAATTGACTTAGTCTATGTAAGTTTTATTTTTTAACCACAGAAGCAGCAAAAATTTAGTTAAATTGAAACTTGCCTGTCACTTTTTAAAACTTCTTTCAACTTTATTTTCACCTCGCAAGATTAAGGACCACATGCTTTCAGCATCCTTGACCTTCACTGAGCATAGTGTAGAACGTTATCCCTGTTACTCATTAGAGCAGCGGGGAGTAAAGATTTATGGAGGAGAGGTCTAGTCACGGGTAGTGCTTATTTTTAGCCTCTTTGGTTTGTTTGGCTTCTCGTAATGGTAATGGTCCATTCAGAAACATAACATGTCAGAGCCGGAAAGGAATTTTAGAGATTTAGTCCAACTCCTAATTTTAAAGATGAGGAAATAAATCTAGAGAAAGGAAATGATTTGTCCAAAGACACAGAAATGGGAAGTAGCTATTCTGTGACTTAAACCAAGGACATTTCACTCCAAGCTCGGGGTGCTCTTTTTGGTCATTCATTTGATAAACATACACTGAGTATTTACCATATGCTTTTGGAAATTGAAAGAAGACACAGCCCCCTGCCCTCAAGTTTACAGTCTAGTGAGTCAGATAAGACATTACACAGAGAAGTATAAACTCCATTCATTCAACAAGCATTCTCTCTTGTGTATAGAACACTGTCCTGGGTGCAGGGGGAGATACAGAGTTTACATAAGACATTATCCATGCTTCATGGAGGTTACAGTTTAGTAAAGGGACCTGACATACACGATATTTCATGATAATGCATTGGAGTGGCAGAACGCAATGTTATGTGCATTCCAAGGGAGGGGAAGGTCATTACTAACTATTGGTTTTGTGGTATTTAATTTGGGCAGCTTTGTAGCCGCCAAACTGTAGGACAGCTTGGGGTAAGTAGTATAAGAGAGGCAACATAGCTCTATACATATTGCTAGCGTGCTTTAATGTTTATGTGTACTTTCTTCAAACAGCTTTATTGGATAAATAGTTTAAGGATTACTACCATTTTATAGAAGAGGAAATGAATTCCAAGAGGTCACACAAGTGGTCCAGGGCTACATAATTATTAAGAGTCGGACCCAAAGGCAAGACCTAGTGACCTTTTTTTGTTTCACCCCATTTTCCAAACAGTGCATAAAGTGTTATGAGAGATCAGGGGATGGGGTGGGGGGTGGGGTGGGGGGACACTTCAGAGGTTTATCCCATATATTGTGGCAGGTTTTTCGTTTAGTAACTTTCCTATCATTACCTCATCTTCCTCTGGTATAAGATACTTTCCTTATAAGAAATTTACATAATTCTAAATGTTATCCTCAGTCATCTTGAATAACTGGGTGTGATATGCACGTATTGGTTAGGTCTTTTTATTCTGGGAAGAATTTCTTCTTAAAGGTTTCACCACAGATGTACTTCATTTTATGCAAGCCTATTACATGGGAGTATATGTATAGGTATATGCATATACCTATACCTATACACAAACACACACACACACACACACACACACACACACACACACATATATATCCAGTTCAAATCTATCTTCTACATTGCAGTCCTACATTACCAATTGCCTTTTAGAAATCTTGAAACGGATGTCCCATAGGCATCTCAAACTCAGTATGTCCAATACAGAACTCATTATCCTTTCCTCCAAACGCTTTCCTCTTCCCAACTTTACTG